CCCCGCCCAGGTGCAGGCGGATGGGACCGACCCTCCCGGCGGTGGCGGCTGCGGCGGCGACTCCAGCCTGGCGGCTCCCTGGACGCGCCGCGTGGAGCCCGGCGCGCGCCGCTGGGGAGGGAGCGAAAGTGCTGGGTGCAATCCAAGGAGGCCCCAATTACTGGAGACTCCTGATCGCCTAAGGCCTGTTGACTCTCGCTCAGACACTTTTGCCCATCTTATTCACAGCATCGGCCCAGGCCACCGCGAGGAGGCATTTGCTTGGGATTTGGACGCAAATGGCAGCAGAGCTCTGGAGGGGGGAGAAGGCAAAATATCGGGACAGGAGAAGAAGTCTTGCATCAGAGGAGGGTTCATCTATATTGAAACTTTTTTTTTTTTTTCTTCTCTGAGTCAGGATCTCACTCTGTCGCCCAGGCTGGAGTGCAGTGGCTCCATTACCTGCTCACCGCCGCTTCGACTTCCTGGGCTCAGGCAATCCTCCAGCCTCAGCCTCCCAAGTAACTGGGATTACAGGGGCATGCCACCATGCCCAGCTAGTGTATGAATATATATTTTTAGAGATGAGGTCTCTGTGTTGTGTAGGCTGGTCTCCCACTCAAGCAATCCTCCTGGCTCGGCCTCCCAAAGTACCAGGATTACAGGTGTGAGCCACCATGCCTCGCCTATATTGTAACTTTTTGATGCATTAAAATAAAACAGGAAAAACCTACATCTCATCTTATGGTTTTGCTTGTTTTGAAATGTTTATATCACTCTAGGTGGCCCTTCTTTTGGTAATTCTAATTTTGCCCTCTTTTTCAGTTTTACCTTCACATCTAATTGGTTTGCTCTTCCAGTCATATTTAGATCTTTTTCCCAAATCCTTAGAACAATATATTCCATACCCCTTGTTTTATTTATCTGGCTGATAAGGTTAGTTATTGTATATAAATGATGTAAGTATGTCAGTAGAGCTGTCTAGAAATTTAACTGTGGTGCAAATTAGCTTTACTACTTGTTTTCAGAAAGTACTCAATAAATTTTAGTGTTCTTAATTAGAAAACAAGAACTGTCAACTTTAATGGATCTTTAGATTGTCTTGTTCATGTCCCAAATGAGAAAACATGTCCAGAGCAGTTTAATCACTTGCCTTTTAAATAATGAAACTAGAACCTTGGTGTGATGATGCCGAGTTCAGTGTACTTACTGTCTTTCTATAGCTGTGTTCCTGAAGTCACATGGCAATTGACATTTTAAATAATAGGTGATTGTCAAACACCACTCCTGGGGCATATCAGTGTTAGCTGAGTCCTCAGTCAGCTATTAAAACTGAATAACAGCAGAGAGGCTTCTCAGTTATAAGAATAATGTATACAGAAGCATGAACATGTTAAAAGGGTGAGCATTCAGAGTGAAAGGAATAGGCCTTAGAAGGCGCAGAGTTTATGCTGATAACTACAGAGACCTTTCAGGCATTTTTATAAACAGTAAATTAAGACTTGTTTTTCTGAAAGACCATGCTAGCAAGACAGCAAAGCATGGCTTTGGAGACTGATAACAATGAAAGAGGCCAAGTGGCAGTTTACTGATCCCTTTCAGAAAGGCTTGATCCCTAAATTAAGGTTGTGGCACCAGGTTAGAGACATTTCAGAAATACCCAAATGGGCTTAATTACCAGTGACATATGAGATTGGTGAGTATGTAGTGTTAAGATGATGGCAAAGTCTGTAGCTGAGAGACTTGGCTGAACAGAGATGCAGTTAATGGGAGAAGGGAATAAAGGAGATAAGCAGGTTTGGGAGGAAAGAGCAAATTCACATGATGGGAGGCTTTGGCCCATCCTTGAAGATAATGATTTGAAACAAAAATATGGCCTCTGAGCCGTGGATAAAGCTTGGCAGTCCTCAGCTTTACTACTTACTTTTAGTACCTAATAAATTTTAGTGTTAATTAGAAAACTAGAATTGTTACCTTTAATGAATCTTTAGGTTGTCTACTTCAAGTCACAAGTGAGAAAACATGATTACTATGTAGAAGCCAAGGGAATATGTAGCGTAAGAAGAGAACTTGGGAAGAGATCGCATTTACAGAAGATTAGAAAAAGTGCCCGTGAAGAAGGCAGAGAAAAAGAAGGGAATCAGGAATGGCGTAGAAACCAAGGAAGAAGGGGTTTCAGGGAGGAGGCAGGTGGCAAAGTCAGGGGCAACAGGCCGTAGAGGAAGTGACCAATGACTTTTGGGGGCAACCCTGTTTTGGGCCCCCTCCCACTTGGGAGCTTTTCTGTCTTCCTAATAAACTGCCTTTAAACCCCCCCCCCCCAAGAATACGACTTTTTCCTTGCTGCCGTAACAACTCACCACGAATGAAGCAGCTTAGGCAACAGTTCTTATGGGCCGGAATTCTGACAGGTCTCACCAAGCTAAGGTCAAGGTATCGGTGGACAGCACGCCTTACTGGAGGCTCTGGGAAAACCTGCTTCCTTGCTTATTCAGGTTGGTGGCACAATTCAGTTCCTCGCTGTGAAAACTGCAGTCTCTGCTTCCTGACTGACTGTCGGCTAAGGGCTGCTTTCAGCTTCTGGAGGCCCTCCATCCTTGGCTCATGGACCCTGTCCTCCATCTCCAAGGCCCCCCTTGGTGAAAGAAGTCCCTCTCCCCTTGGGATGTCGTCTTCTCATCTCTCTCTCCTTCTTCTTCCACTGTTAAAGGCCCCTGCAATTACCTTGGGTCCACCTGGATAAGCCATGCAGTTCTCCCTATTTTAAATCGAAGACTTAGCAACCTTAATTCCATCTGCAAAGCCCTTTGTACTGTGTGAGGTAATAGTCACAGGACCCAAGTGTAGACATCTTTGGGGAACCGTGATTCATCCTACCACAGGAAGTTAGAAGTAATAACGGTTAATGGCGATAGTCTTTCCAGAAACTTTGTTGTTAAGGAAAGGAGATACCTAGACTTATTTATATTATCTAGCATGTGATATGTATTTCCAAAAGTAAACATTTTGGGGCTTTTTTTTTTTTTTTTTGAGTTGGGATCTCACTCTGTTGCCTAGCCTGAAGTGCAGTGGCACAATCATGGTTGGGCTGGAGACTCCTGATCGCCTAAGGCCTGTTGACTCTCGCTCAGACACTTTTGCCCATCTTATTCACAGCATCTGCCCAGGCCAACCTCTTGGGCTCAGGCAATCCTTCTACCTCAGTCTCCCACGTAGCTGGAACTACAGGTACATGTCACCATACCTGGCTAATTTTTTTGTAGAGACAATGTCTCACTATGTTGCCCAAGCTGTTTTGGAATTCCGGACTCAAGTAATCCTTCTACCTTGGCCTCCCAAAGTGTGAGGATTACAGGTATGAACCACCACGTCTGGCCTATCATTGAACTTTTTAACTAAGGTGCAGGTATCTTATGATCCTGAAATTTGTGTGAGCATACTTAAAAAAATTTTAAGAGCGTCATACAATTAGAAGTTGGTACCATTAAATTGTTAGTATTGATAGCTTTACATATCCTTTAAGCTGCTTTAAATTTTTTGCTGGTAAAGGCCATTTGACCAATTAAATGTATGTGCCTAAAATATAATTTGAATATACATCAAAATATGACTTTTAAAATATAAAATCCACACAAATTGGAATGTATGTCTAAAGAATAGAACAAAAAAAATTTATCATAGTACTATGTATAGCAGGCTTAGAATTTTATGCCAATCGGTGAGGATTAAATAACTGTCTCCTCTAGAGCTGTGCTGAGAAACATGCAGAATTTGGAGCTGGACCTAACTTTGAGTCCTGCCTCTTCTGCTTTGTAGTCTTGGGTGGGCTTGGCCAAATTACTTGTCTCCTGAGCATCGCTTTCCTTATATATGACATTGAATACCAATACCTTCACTGTAGAGTCTTATGAAGATTGGAATTTAAAGGGTTGAAAGGTAGTCAGTACTCAAAAAGAGCATATTCTGTTCTTCTCCTTTCTTTCCTTTGTCACATACTGCTTTGTTTGTCCTTAACCTTGGGGAATCAGTTATTTCTGCCCTCTACATTTCACTTTAAATATTACTTTCTCAAAGAGGCTTTTCCTGATCCCTTCCCCGCCATGCAAATTCAGTTCCCCAGTTACTCACTGTCACACACGTCTTTTCTGTCACTTACTATAATTTACATATTATACTTGGGTTATTTGTTCATCATCTGCTTTTCATTCTGGACTATAAGCTCTATGAGATCAAGGGTCTTTGTATATTTTGCTCAATACTATAAACGCAGTATCTAACATAATACCTCACACATAACTGACAATCATAAATATTTGTTGAATGAATTAGTGAATGATGAATGTTGGTGTTTACTGGATGACTTCCAATCAACTTCTTGTGTAAAACAGCCAGCAAGAAATTCATAAGTCCTTGATGCAGTTTATTCTGAATTATGTAAGTTGCTTCCGTAGCAGCATATCACACTTCTTTGGAAGAAGGCTGCCTCTCTGAGAGGTCCCATTACCTGCCTCCCTACCCCGTTTGTAATCCTTCTGAGTGAACATTCTATATGCCACACGGCCAGATAATTTGAAGAATATCCTCTAATTTTGGTGGAAATGTGTCCAGTATTGTTTTTAGGATGTAACAAAACCTTTCATCTAATTGTTCTATCTTTTCTATTAAAGTAAATTATGACTAGAGATGAAAATGCAGTATGCCTATAGAAAGACTCTGAAAAGCTCACATTAAGAATACTTCTGGGGCAACCTTGGGTCTCCTTCCACTGTGGGAGCTCTTCTGTCCTCTCAATAAATCCTGCTTTCTAAAAAAAAAGAAAGAAAAAAGAATATTTCTCCATAGATGTAGAATATGGTCATGTATTACTTAACGGAGATATGTTCTAAGAAATACGTCATTAAGTGATGTCATCATGCAGATGTCATAGAGTGTACTTATAATACACAAACCTAGATGGTATAGCCTGCGATGTGGTATAGCCTATAGCTCCTAGGCTACAAAACTGTACAGCACATTATTGAATACTGTAGGCAGTTGTAACATAATGGTAAGGATTTATGTATCTAAGCATAGCTATATATCACAATGGTACAATAAAAATATGGTATGAACGATTTTTAAATGGCACCCCTGCATAGGGCGCTTGCCATAAATGGAGCTTGCAGGATGGGAAGTGGCTCTTGGGGAGTCAGTGAGCAAGTGGTGAGAGGCTGTGCAGGCCTTGGACATCACTGTACGTGACCGGGGACTTTAGAAACACTGTCCACTTGGGCCACATGAAATGTATGATCATTTTTTTCTTTCTTCAGTGATAAATTCGTCTTAGCTTACTTTAACTTCATACATTTAATTTTTTAAGCTTTTTGATTCTTTTGTAGTAACACTTAGCTTAAGACACAAACACATTATACAGTTGTACACAAGTATTTTATTTCTTATTCCATAAGCTTTTTAAATTTTTACATCAAATTTTTTCAAATTTTAAAACTCTTTTGTTAAAAACTAAAACGCAAACACACGCATTAGCCTAGGCCTACGAGGATCAGAGTCATTGGTACCACTGTCTTCCTCCTCCTCGTTTTATCCCACTGGAAAGTCTTCAGGGACAATAGTGCACGTGAAGCTGGCATCTCCAGCTAGCACAATACCTTCTTCAGGAATCCTCTCTAAAGCACCTGCCTGAGGCTATTTTACAGTTTACTTTTTGTTCTATGAGTAGAAGAATACACTAAAATGACAATAAAAAGTATAAGGCAGTAAAGACACAAACCAGTAACATAGTTGTTTATTATCATTACCAGGTATTAGGCACTGCCCCTAATTGTATGTATTATACGTTTATATGACTGACAGTGCAGTGGGTTTGTTTACACCAGCGTCGCCGCAAACACATGCATAATGTATTGTGTTATGATGTCACAGCATCACTGACAGGAGTTTTTTCACTCCATTGTAATCTGATGGAGTCACTGTCATATATGTGATCTGTTGCTGAGTGAAATATTGTTTTACGTCACATGACTGTACAATTTAAATATATGATTAACTTCCCTACATTAAGCTGGATCATAAAACTGCAACCTGTCTAGACTATAATCTCTCTTCTCTACAAAAATGCTTTGACTGTGGTAAGCTTTAACAATGCACCTTAAACTCTAAGGAAGAATGATAGAATCATTGACATAACTAGTTCTCTCTTATAAAACCATGGTCAGAGACATCTGTCAAAAAGGATTTCTAGAAATTAAAGTATAGAAAAGGATTTTTCCCTCCAAGAATCTTGCTGACTTTTATAGACAGTAAAAACTCACTCATTTTACTTCTGGGCTTCCCTGACGGCCCAGAAACCCTGGTGCTACATGTGCTTCTCCAGAGCGGTAGCCACAGACTCCCCCTGACTGATGGTTTGGCAGTGTCTGTCACCCTCTTCCCTGTCACCCTCTTCCTGTCACTCATTCTGTAAACATGTACCTGCTCTTATTTATCATGTGCCAACCTGCTTTTAGGGACTGCAGATACAGAAATGAGAGCGTTCCAGCTCTCATGAGCTTATATTTTTGTTCGTTTTGTGTTTTACAAGTGGTTTCAAGCTACTTCTTTTGAACCTATGTGCATTCTAAATAAATAAGTATACCATGATACTGTTTTTTATAAATGTATGATTTTGAAAATGGTGATAGTCAGTTTTAATTTGAGTGCATAGCCATGGCTTTAAAACCTAGTACAAAGATAGAGTTTATTCCTTCTATAATTAGTGCAACCAGATAATATTCCCATACCCAGTCCTCCAGCTCTGATTATTTCACTGATGACAGTGGTTTCTCACTTTTATAATATCGGATCCAAATTTCTTCAAATGTTTTGAAGTACTTTGTTGCCCAAACCTCCAGAAAGTCGTATTTTCAACTATTATCCGTGCCATTATGTTCATTTTTTACTTTGTGCTATATTTCTTGAGAGATTTTTATTGCTTTAGGCCTTTCTGATTTGGAAAATAATAGCAGGTTTTAGTTAATAATATGTACTAGTTAAAGTGATGCTCAAATAGAAATTTTTTAAAATCCCAGAGGCTTAGCACTCTTTTTGGCTTCTGGTTCTCCCAAGGAGTAGATGGCTATGACGGTTAATTATATATATTCACTTGACTGGACCACAAGAGCCCCGCATATTTGGTCAAACATTTTTCTGGATGTGTCATGTGAGGGTGTTTAGTGATGAGATTAGCATTTGAATCCGTAGGCTGAATAAAGCGACCTCCTTCCCTAATGTGGATGGGTCTCTTTCAATCTATTGAAGGCCTGCATAGAGCCAAAAGGGCGACCCTACCTTAAGGAAGAGGGAACTCCTCCTGTCTGCTTGACTGAGACATTCGTCTTTTCTTCCTTTGGGACTCACACGGAAACATGGGTTCTTCTTGGGTCTTGAGCCTCCTGGCTTTCGGACTGGAACTTACACTGTCAGCTCTCCTGGACCTCAGGTCTTCGGACATGACCTGGAAGTATACTATTAGCTCTTCTGGGTCTGTAGCTTGCTGACTTCAGGTCAACCACGGCTTTCAAAATTGCTTGTATCAACCAGAAGTGGTAAGGTCATAAAGAATCAGTTACAGGCAGCTTTTATGGACGAGGGCTGGCAAGGGCATACAGCTCTTATGTTTACAGTCCGTTGGGTAGAGCTCAGATACATGGTCACACTTAGTTCGAAGGAACACATAGTCATGTCCCTTTGAAAAAGATAAAATAGTCGGTGATCAGTCAACAGTTTCTGCCACCCTTATCACCAGATACTGAGTATCCTGTGGTTGTCTTTTCTTTGCATGTGCTACCTACCTTTGATGTGAGAGTGAGCATTACTTCAGTACCAGTAAATGAGCTGCACTTTTTAATTTGTGATACAAAGATACCAGGTGGCCAGGCTTGGTGGCTCAGCCTGTAATCCCGCACTTTGGGAGGCCGAGGTGAGTGAATTGCCTGAGCCCGTGGGTTCGAGACCTGCCTGGGCAACTTGGCGAGACCTCATCTCTACAGTAAATCAAAAAATCAGCCGGGCGTGGTAGTGCATGCCTGTAGTTCCAGCTACTTGGAAGACTGAGGCGGAAGGATCGCCGGAGCCCAGCAGGTCGAGGCTGCGGTGACCTGGAGCAGCCACCGCACTCCAGTCTGGGTGACGGAGTGAGACTCCAACTCAAAAACAAAAAAAAAGAAAAAGAAAAAAATTAGCCAGATGTGGTGGTGTGTGCCTATAGTCCAGCTACGTGGGAGGTTTTCTGAGGTGAAAGGATTGCCTGAGCGCAGGAGGTCGAGGCTGCAGTGAGTCATGATCTGTGCCACTGCACTCCAGCCTGGATGACAGTGTGAGACACCAGCTCAAAAAATATATAATATGTGTGTGAATGTGTGTGTGTGTGTAGAGAAAGAGAGAGAGGAAATAGCACATATTGAGTACTTATGAGGAGTTTAGGCTTTGAGAGCCTTGCTTTATTGGATTTGAAAGATGAGAAAAACAAAACCAAATTCATTAGTTGGGCTTATGTCAATCAAGGCAGATGAGCAGATTTCTACATGCAGGGTATATTATTGTCCTTAAAAACTATCTTTCGAGCCAGACTCGGTGGCTCAGCCTGTAATCCCGCGCTTTGGGAGGCTAAGGTGAGTGGATTGCCTGAACCCGCGGGTTCTAGATCCGCCTGGGCAACTTGGCGAGACCTCATTTCTATAAATCAAAAAATTAGCCAGGTGTGGTAGTGTGTACCTGTAATCCCAGCTACTTTGAAGGCTGAGGTGGAAGGATCACCAGAGCCCCCAGGAGGTCGAGGCTGTGGTGGCCGGGAGCGGCCACTGCAGTCCAGTCTGGGCGACAGAGTGAGACTCCAACTCAAAAAAAAAAAACAAAGATACCAGGTGGTACAAAAGGATGCAATTCTTGAGTGCTTCCCTTCTTATGAAGGCATAGCGGCTATTTAGAGCTTTCCGCAAGCTGCATGGAGGAAGGAATTTGGTGGTCAATTGATTTCAATAAAACACTATAGTGTTAAATTTGTGATAAAATTATTTTTCTTTCATTTTTTGGTATTTGTTTATAAATATATTTTGTTTTATAATTATAAAGTTTCTAGTTGCTTGTCTATATACACTTAAGCAACATTATAATAAAAATAATTTATGTGAACACCTAGGAATTATAATACTTTATCCTTTCTCTTAGAGAGGATTATATATTATTTGAGTTTGATAATTACTGTTATCTAAGTCTTTAGATTTTGTTCCATTAGCTCTTTGTTTTCAGAAGTAGGCCTGCATCTGTAGAAGCTGTTTCTTAAGTGATTTGAAATTTGTGGTTTCACTTGTTCAAGGCATAATTTAAACAATTTTGTTTATGACTTGTTTTTTACTATCCTTGAATTAAGGAGGTATTAAGGAGAATTTATTTCTTTCTACTTATCCTTAATATGTATTTTTCATTTTTGAGTTGGAGTCTCACTCTTGTCACCCTGACTGGAGTGCAGTGGCATGCTCACAGCCACTGCAGCCTCGACCTGCTGGGCTTAGGTGATCCTTCTGCCTCAGCCTTCCAAGTAACTGGAACTACAGACGCACACCACCACATCTGGCTAGTTTTTGTGATTTATTGTAGACAAGATCTTACTAAGTTGCCCAGGCTGGTCTCAAAGTCTCGAACCTCTGAGCTCAGGCAATTTTCTCGCCTTAGCCTCCCAAAGTGTAGGGATTCCGGGCTGAGCCACCGCACCCAGGCAATATGTATTTTTCACAACTTTGTCTTGTTTTCACTAATTACTTTTAATTTCACAGATAATCAATATGCATTTCCAAGCCTTTGGGCTATGTGTGGGTCTTCTATTCATCTCAGTTAATGCAGAATTTATGGATGATGGTGTTGAGATGGAAGACTTCGGTGAGAATCCAGAAAAGATTGAGGCTAACGAAGGTGAACCTTCCTCAGAGGTAAGGCTGCTGAGAAATAAGTTGTAAGTTATTCCTTTACATAATACAGTGGAGTGACTACCTCCAAAGATTCTTTTCTGTTCTAATGGTCCTCATTTTATCAATAAATAGAAAGACATTGCTTTTTTTCTATCTTGCTCTGTTAGTTTTTGGAGTACATATGTACTCCAGAGATTTGTACATATAACAAATAACTGGGAAGGGTTTTTTTTCCCCCTTCAGAATAGGAGTTCATCACTGGTTAAAGAGGAATAGTACATTTGCTAAGAATAAGGTTTTCAGGTGTATTTCTGAAACTGCTGGAATTTTTCAGATAAAATAAAAGATAGTACAGTTTACAGTTCTTTGAGAAGTAAAGTATGCACCTCATCATTTTTTTTTTTCTCTGAGGGAAGAAAATGTTAACCAGGAGGATACATGAGAAGGGAGGTGAAGATGAGGTATAGGCATCAGGAAAGCCCACTGTGTTTCTGTCTCAGTGGTGTTGAGATGCACGTTTTTGAGTCGTGACCGACAGGACCCTGGGAAACTTTACAGAGATTTTTGACAATCTCTAAGAGCTTTTACACTGAGGAATATTCCTATCTGATACTGTGCTAATCAGAAATGTTTGTGATGGTGAGGAAGCATCACTTGTATGTTAAACCTCTGCAAGTACATTAAAAACAATTCTAGGTCTATCATCTATAAAAAGTAAGTCCTCCAAGTACTAAACTTGACTGACTTAGATGCATCCACTACATGGGACTTCAAGGAAATTGACAGATGCCTATCACTCCTGACTGTATTTGGTGATAATTTAAGCATATGATTAGAAATGGGAAAGAGTCGTTTCTGATGTTTCTAGTTTTATAGCACATATCATCTAGATATGATAAAGTATAAGTAAAGAACAAAATAAACTGATTTCAAAGGTTGTCTAGCAGGAGGAAATCTCTTGTGACAGCATTGCTCATTTTTTCAATCTGCAAAAATATAGACAACAGTAAAGTTTGTAATTCAAGAAACTAATAGAAGACTACTAATTTGGGTAGCTGAATCTTGAGCCTGCCAGTAATTATGCAGAATTTTGTTTAATTACTGATTTTTTTCCCGTTAACAGACAGGAAACATTGTGTTAATCATTACAGGGTAGTAAAAATAGAAAAAGGTCTTCTGCACCTTTTCCCTAAAGACTAAGAAATCTCATAACTAATTATACAGATAAAAATTACAAAAGGCTGATTTAGAAAGAATCCAGACCGATCTGTTACTCATCAGATCTGGATTCCTAATGTCAAAATGATATTATTGCTCTTTAGTCATCAAACAGTGAAATGGAAGAGTTAATTTTAAACTAGCCTATATACTGACGAAGGTTTTCATCTTATATGCTTTTTGTTATGCTGTCTAATGATTTTTGTCCCCAGATACTGCCATTTGTCAGAGTCCTTTAAAGACCATGTAATGTGTCATGAGACCTCTAATCACTTCCTCCCATTCCTCCTGAGTTAGGAGGGGTCAGTGTCACCTCTGATTGCACATATAGAATTTATGTCATCTAACTATTGCTTAGTTTTTTTGTATCTTACCATTGCAAGGATACAAAGTTTTGCTTCTTATTCAAGTTTGTCACCTCATATCTGTATTGCCTATATGTGCATTGCATAGTAGGTTCTTCACTAGGGAGGGTATTTAATTAAAATATTTGTGAAAATGAATAACTTTACATTTCATAAAATACATTTTTCAGATTAAATATAGGACACCTCAACCTATAGGAGAAGTATATTTTGCAGAAACGTTTGACAGTGGAAGGTTGACTGGGTGAGTGTTCATTCAAGAGAATGTTTTCTTTGATTTGATTCGCTTTTTTGAACTAAAAAAAGTTTGGATTTTGGCCTATGAGAATCACCTTAACTATAGATCTATAAAAAATTTTAAAGTACCTTGATGATGTAAACTAATACTTTACACATTTTTGGTTTCGATTGAGAAGTTTAATTTGAATAGTTATTCATTCATACAAAGAAAATATGTAAATAAATTCTGGACGTAAAGATGAAACTTATAATATTTCTTCATTCTGTATGACAGAATTTATCAATCTAGGTTCAGAGGACAAATTTGAGTTGCCTTTCAATCTTAAGTAATTATAAAAAGAATAAAGGTTAGCACTTAAAATGATTGATGTGTGTTAGACATTGTCCTAAGTTAGGCAGGCAGGTAAGTACTATATCCCATTTTAAAAATGAAGAAACTGAGTTCATAGTGTGCCTTACTTGTGATCATTCAGCTCATAAATTACAGATCCCAAATTTGGTTTAACTCTAGCCTGGCAGGATTATATGTAGGCATGCTTATTTTGCCCCTAACTGTTAGTTTATTTCTGAATAAAATATGACTGTGTTGAGTAATCTTTTATTTTTTTAACAAAGAGTTACAAGGTACTTTGTATATTGAAATTTCCAAATACGGTCAAAAGTAGAAATAATAGTTAATGAAGCCCTTTATATTCATTGTAGCTTCTACAATCATTGACACATGACCCATCTCATGAGTTTTATTTTTTTATCTATTCATTCAGTAGACAAGTTTGTTGGGTAATCGTTCATTGTGGTTTTTTTTCTTCCCCCCCCCCCCCCCCCCCGCCGTCAGATGGGTAATGTGCTGATGTTATGACAAGCTTTTGAGAGAGGTACATCTCACACATGAGTGTGAACACCTGATCATCACACTTATGAACTACAGAAGGGTCTTGTTGTGTTTCTAATATGCATTGTATTGATACATTTGCTGGTTTTATTGTTAATGACATACACGTATTTTTAACTTTATTTACAGGTGGGTTTTATCAAAAGCAAAGAAAGATGATATAGATGCAGAGATTTCTATATATGATGGTAAGGTATTAAATTAAATACTAAGTAAATTAAAGTAAATATTAGATTAATTTAAATATTAGATATAACCAGCATGAGTTCACTAGCTTTTAAGGTTATATTTTCATTAAAATGTGTTGACTGGAGGCACCCATCCTGCTTCATAATACAATGTTTAGTCTTTTATCTTGTCCCTCTTCAATATTTTTGGAAAGCCCTTCAATATTTCTGGAGCTCCACTCTTCATCCCATTAATCTCATTTTCTACCTCTGAACAGTTGAATATGCACTTTGCTGCAGTTAGTCATGTACATTTCCTGAAGCAGTATTTCCTAGGCTCCAAAGTTTCATCTCAGACTTGGCACACCTAGCTCAAGTTAGAGTTCACAGCAAGATTCTCCTAGCAAACACTCAACAGGATAACTAATGAGAGCTACAGAGGTGTGGCTGTTCCTGGAGCCCACACCTCCAGGCTACATCTTATCATAGGGTTTCTGATAAGGTTATCTTCAGGCTTAGCTATGCAAAGAAATGTCCTATATGCACAAGTCATATTGTCTTTCCTACCAAGACTACCCTGGAGTATGACCAAAGAATTTCCTCCTCCTAGTCTAAAACTAGCCTCCTTAGTGGATATATCCCAAAGCAAGACCAATCTCTTCTCAAGGTGATTGATGGTGGGAATTTCATCTTTCTCAGAGACCTCATGCTCATAATCATGTGACCTTATACTCAGACCCCAACAGGCATTTACATCACAACAACAAACAGGTATCAGCTGTATACTTCCCTTCCATAGTTTCTGTTTTAAGATAAAGATCATGCCTGTATGTCTTCCTTTGCAGGAAGTGTTCTCCATTCTAGCAACTCCGTTGTGCATATATATGCTTATCTACTCCAATAGGAATACTACCATATGCATCAAATGAGCAATACTATATTCCACTTAGAGAAGTACTATAAATTCACTTAGAGAAAAGAATAATTTCCCCCAAAGAATCAGTGAGTCTGCAGAAATAGATACTGCCACCTTAAATATATCTACATAACTATACATTATCAAATAGAATGCTAGGCTTCAAATATCTATATTTAGGAAGAGTTTTCCCCAGAACATTGGGTGGAAACAGTATCTGCTTTGTATTTGTATTTTATAAGACTCCATAGATTCTTATAAAATTAAGAGATGGCCTATCTTAAGGATGAACTTTAAGTCTCTATTTCTTACAAGACAAAAATGGCTTTTAGTGTTCACGTGAGTTTCCTTGCCAGCTTAAAATTAAAAATCAAACCAGCAAGAAAAATCAAGCATCTTGATTTCCAAGTTTGGTCTGTTGTCTTATTATATATTAAATATTCAGGTAACCCCCTCAGGTCTCCTCCCACTGTGGGAGCTTTTCTGTTCTCTTAATAAATCCTACTTTCAAAAAAAAATTAAATATTCAAGTAAATAATTTTCTTCAAGTCACTTCAAAAATGTATACAGAAATTCTACAGGCTATGCAAATGCAGAATGCTTATAAATACTATACAATTACTTGACAGTACTGAAATACATAGCCTACTCAAACTATATGGGTGATATCATTTTCTATATATTTTTAACTTTGGGAGATTTTGCCATATAACTCTACTATTAAAAATTTTTAAACCATCACAAAAAATGTTCTAGCATAATATATATAGCTGTAGTTTCTGGCTGACTTTAATCAATTTCTTAAAAAGCAACTTTGAAAAATAAGAACTCTATTAAAAATTCAGGTTTTGAAAGTGGTGTTGTATACAAAGTGGTTAGTTGAGAAGACCAGTATCGGATTTCCTCTTAAGACTGTTTAATATTCACAGTAGTTAATCAGCGTCTATCAAGCATTATCTAACTAAAACTCATTCCAAGTTTTTTAGGAGTAAGCAAATCTATATGAAACACTATATGCTTGGATACAGATTGTGCATATTGAGGAGAATTATTCAAATTTTTCAGATTGTTATTAATAAATGTGTAGATGTTACAAGACAGGTGCTTTAACCACCTAAGCAACAGAGCCAACACAAAGTATAGATGTTGTATTATACATATCGATTCTTTAAGTGACCGACTTTCTAAGTATAAATTATTTCTGAAATTTTATTTACAATTGAATTTATGTTACCTAGGATTGTCCAGAATTTGGGTAAGTGATCCTATTAATAGAAAGTTATTGTTTTTTTTGAAGAGGAAAAGCCTCTTGTCATTAAGGAATAATTACCCTGTCAATAGGTTTTCTAAAATTAAATGCTAGTTGGTACCTTTTTCATAGCTGTATGTAATTGCAAGAAAAACGACATAGTTTTTCAAATCGTTTAGTGTCAGTATCTTGAAAATCCAAAGAATAAAGCTGTTACTTCCTAATATAAGACCCTTGGAGGGGGACGGAATGATGCAGGGGGTGGGGATGGTGCGAACCACTGATTAGTAGTGATAATTCAATTCATCATCAATGTGACAGAAGAAAAACCAAATAAACTGATCTTTAACAAAAAAAGTATAATATGAGAAAATTAGAGGAAAAAACAAAAAGAAACCTGGAAACTTGAATTGGAAAACACATTTTTAAAAGTCCAATAAAGTGTACACAATTATAGACCAAAAATCAATCACATCTCTTGAGTTGTAAAACTATTCTGGATCCTACATTCTGTTTTAAAAAATAGAAAAAGGTAATATAAGAACACTGGTGATTCAAAATTGCTCATTGACACAATACTGAAAAATAGCAAGTTTTGCTGACTTGAGTTTTCTTGGAATAGGCAATAGCTGTAATTTTCAAAACCAGATTTTACACAAACTGATTTTCTGTTCTAGAGGGAGGAAGAGAGTCAAGTCTAATGCACACCTTTTAGCTACAGGGAGCCCACCCAGCTTTGCACTGTGTGTGGCCCATGACCTTATTTCAAGAGTGTCCTGATCGGAAACATGGGAATGTTTAGCTCAGAGAGGGCCTACCTCATCTTTGCCACATTGTAGCTTAGTGCTTGTCCAATGCCTTGCTGCTTTCCTGATCAGGAGTTCTGAGAGCTGATGGGCTTCCTTGGGCAGAGCTTGTGTGAATCAAGCCTACAATTTTCAAGATAAAATTTAAATCCTTTCGATAACTGCCGCAAGTAAGAAAAGCAGCAGTTCATGAGTGTTGTGCATTTGAAAATAGACTGAGATAGATGCTCATTTTGGGTTAAGGGTGAGGGTGCTTTCTGTCTCAAATGCAGCTTTAATATTTTTAAATATTGCATTTTGAGAATACAGTGTTGATAAACCCCATGAGACAACCCACATTTTATAATTTCATTGATTAAAAAGTATTTCAGAGGAAACCAAACTAATCCAGCTTTAACAGTGCCCTAATCAGACCCTAGAGTGTTTGCTATTTATTAGTTTACACAATTTTAGTTAAGAAAATGAAACCATTCTCTGACAGAAAAAAAGTTAAAAAGAGCAGCATGCATGTAGTTGGAGAGACTTTTTGATTTAAAATTTTGTTTTGTTTTTCCTAAATCAGCCTTCATGGAAAAATATGATTGTTCACAATTGCAGATAAATAGTTCTTAAGTCGGTGTCTTTTGTTTAGTGTAATTTGCTTTGCTTTGTTTTTTAGGAAGATGGGAAATAGAAGAGTTGAAAGCAAACCAAGTACCTGGTGACAGAGGACTGGTTTTGAAATCTAGAGCAAAGCACCATGCAATATCTGCTATATTAGTAAAACCCTTTATTTTTGCTGATAAACCTTTGATAGTTCAGTAAGTTTTCTTATGTTTTTTAATCTGAATTTTGTATTAATCTTAACTTATGTGAATATAGCTTGTATTTTTATAATGAGTATACAAACCTAGACTTTATATTTCATTTTCACTAAGTTAAATGCACATAGACACCAAACACACCCTTGTTCAATGAAAAGCAACTAATAATAAAATCATATAATATATTCTGTAACATATACAATTCTGTCATCATAAACTATACCATGCCTAGTAGAATCACCATTTTAATCTTATTCTTCTCTTAAAATTACTTGCTATCAAGATATTAAACTCAATGTATTCAGAATAGAACCATAAGTATTGATGTTAAACCAGTGATAAAGATTTAAAGGCAAAAGTTTTATTTTAAAAGAAAATGTATACATATAGCAGTGTCTTTTCAAGCATGAGCCCCTTTTCCAGGCCATGTGTTGTCACAGATACTCCTCTCCTTCCCTAATGTTGACATAAACCAGTGATGTTGCTTGCATGTGTACAGTTGTACAAATCGGGTATGAATTTATTTAGTGTATTTCACCTATACTGCTATAAAACCAAAGTGAATCTGTGTGAACACAATTGCAAAACCCATAACATTCAAATTACAAAGAAAGAAGAGGAAATGTATAACTGTTACTTTCTACCTTTTATCAGAAACTTTGTCGAAAGTTAATTGCAGCATATGGAAATATCATTGCCCATAAATTGTATCTCTCAAGGCCCCTTTAGTTCTTTGTTAACGTGTTAAACATATTCTTATGTGATATAACTAATATATCATCTTGCACTTGAAAATAGGGTACTTGGTATAATTGGCTTAATATTTTCAGTCGTGACACTTTGGCTTATTATTTATATTAAGTTATTTCATGAATTTAAAATATTAAGTAATGTCAAAGAGTATATGGTTAATATTTAAAAATATTGATTAGGTATTCACTGGGACTAATATTTGTGTGTGCTATTATTGATTATTATTCAGGGTTTGGTTTGGGATTTGTTCCTTGAGAGTTTTGAAATAATCTTCTTTTGACTAGGTGAATGTAATATCATTTTCTACTTTGATTCTTTGTGGCTTAAGTGAAAGGGTAAAGGAAAATAATATAAAACGTAAATTCTCTAGAGTAAAATGAATCAAATTAGTGTTTTCAGTATAAGGCACTACTAGGCAGCTAAGCAAGCAGTAGCTTGTAAGACTAGAAGCGAATATTAGGAATTAAGTCGAAAAAAATCACTAAAGATGTTGTGAAATTATTATCCTGAAAAAAGAAAAGGAGGATCACGAACTGAGTAGTCTTTCATATGCTTAAAACAATCCAAAGAAGGAATGTTTGTCTCCTCTTAGTATTATAAAGCAAAACAGGGTAAATACAATGAAGAGATTTTACATTAAATGCGATAAGTACCATGGATTTATGACATGACTTTACACTGCTTTTCTCAAATTGTGCACATGTTAAGATATATTATGTGGTCATATACATTTTGGAAACTAAGAGTATCCCAACTTAAGAGATAGAAAACATATTAGTCTATAGTCTATAGACTTTGAGAAGTTCTATGTATAAAAACCTGTTTTTAGCTTTAATACTGTGTTTTCCAAATATGCTTGACCACATAAGTTCACTTCCTCCCCTCCAGCAGTAGTTACTATTTCGTGGAACAGTTTGAGAAATGGCACTCTAAAGAAATTAAGATTACCATGTACTCTGCACATGTCCTCAGTTTTTCTGTGATGAAAGTTGAGCAGCAAACTATATGAGATACATTTTGTTGATCCTCTAATCCATTGTGAATTAATTATGCTTGGTACAGGTTAATAACTTGAAAACTGTGAAAGTTTGCATTATAGGAAATAGCCAAAGTGACTGAGTCTAGGCATAATATGACAACAAAGCTGTGTTTGCATTTATTGAGCAAGTTTACAAAATTGTTCTTTCCAGTTCTCAGCTTTTCATAGAACCCCTTTGTCCTTTAGATAACCTATTCTAAAGAAATATCTCTTTTTATTTTATTTTTCCTGTAAACAGTGACCTTTAAATCGCATCACATATCATGTCTTCTGAAGACATAAGTTCCATGAGGAAAATTTGTCAGCTGTTGCTTAAAATAAAAATAAGGCTTTGAGGGAAACAAACTGTCCTTTAAAAAATGAGAAAATAGCAAAAGAATACCCTTCTTCTGATCATAACATTTTTGAGCATTTATTTGCCCATCATTGTGCATGACAGCCTTTCATGATCATAGCCGTATTTTGTGGTATAGGTATAAGCCATGGTCCCATATTATAGATGAGCAAACAGAGACTTAGAGCTAAAATAACTTGCCCTTATGCAAGGTGTCTCTAGGATAAGTTGCAGAATCAAGAATACATCTCCGGTGTTTCTGATTTCAAAGTGCATGCTTGTAACCACCATTATTGACAGGTTGAGAAGGAAGGCCTAGTAGAAAGTACAGAGAGAAATCATACATGGTCTTGCAAGTTAGAGAGAATCACTTACAATTTTAGTGTCCTCTGGGTTTTTTTTTAATATAAAAGATATATACTAATTGGTTCACACTGTTAAAATTTTGTATGCTATTATTTTTCACCTTCTTGTCACCAAAATTTCTTCAGAAAAGTTAAAAACTACAGTCCTTTATTAAAATGGTCACTATTTTCATTTGATTCTCTGGTTTTCAACTCTTTTTGTTTTTTAATTCATTTAACACAATCATAACCTTTTTGGTTTTTACCGTTTTTCATTTTTACAGTCATTTTCTCATTGATTTTTGTCACATATAAGTCATCCGTTTACAAAAATCTCTTCTAAACGCTGTTCCATAAGTCTGTACCTCATTGTCTTAGTAAGGCTATTTATTTTTTAAAAGTCAAAAAAACAAAAATACATCACTGAGAATTACACGGTGTTGTAAGTCCACGAGAAGATGCCCATACTAGTTCCCTCTCTTAGCTGTTACAATAAACAGCTAAAATTTCCCATATCTCTTGGCTGTTGAGATCTGAAATACTCTGGTTATTGACTGAGATTATGAAATCTCTTTGCTGGAGCTATTTAATGAAATATACAACTTACTTAATATGGTTTAGGTGTAGTTTAGCTAAAAGACAAATGAGTCATAAACTCCGGATATGTAAGATCATTTGCAATTTCTGTTGCTGTAGCTGTGATTCTTATGACCTTTGTGGCTTTAGTTTATAAAGAATATGTATAGTGACTACCTTGTCAGAATTTGAAATTTCCTATTACAGTTTTAGTCAAACTCTCTTATTCTCAATTGATCAGTTTTGCTAGAAAAAAATGCTTAAATGAATTGATTGTTTTTTCTATAGATGACTGTAATCATTCTATTTTTAATATTTTAATGATTTCCTTATACTAGTAGGAAAGCATTTCTGCTGATTTCCTATAGGTTGTAGATATGCTTTTTCTGAGCTTTCTGGTAATGTAAAACATTTGTATTTTAATGAATTGTTAGTAATACATTAGATTTTAAAGAGCAATTCATAATTTTTATTTATCAGCAGTATGGTTCTTTTTCCCTTCATTCAGATATGAAGTAAATTTTCAAGATGGTATTGACTGTGGAGGTGCATACATTAAACTCCTAGCAGACACTGATGATTTGATTCTGGTATGATATTTTAATCTTTAAAAAAATCTTCTTGAAGTTAATAAGTTTTTAAAGGCATAATGAATAAAACTGAACATTTTATTTTCAACTGAAATTGACAAGAGTTTTAGATGTCTCTTCCAAGAGTTTATACAGCTTTTACAATTTGCCTTTGAGTTTTATATAAGGCTGTATTACTCGAAGACATCTATTTTATAATCTTTAGCAACATTAAAAAAGGTTACCATGTGTAATAAATTTTAAAATGACATGGTGCTTACAGATGCTCTTAAAATAGCTTAGAGTTATTTTCTTTATACAACAGTAATCTTAAGTTTGTTCAGAGAAATAAAATAACAGCCATGCAGTGAAACAAAAGAAGAAAGAGCTGCGTTTAAAGGTGGGCCAGTGCTAGGGTTGGCAAGCCGTGTACACAATAATACACAGTTGATTTTAAAGACTTTCCATGATGAAGTAGCTTTATGCTTCTAAGAGTCTGTATTAGAACCATTTGAAGGTTGGGGACATTTCTTATAGCATTTTCCTACAGGAGGCTGTGTCAGGGTTTCTGCAAATAATAGAAATAAGATAGATGAGAAATCAGTGAGAGAGATTTCAGAATGGATGGCTACGCATAGGCTATGAAATGTGAATTAAAGACTTTTTGGGTCCTATTCATCATTAGAGTCTGGCAGAAGAGAGGCCATTATAGTATGTGTGGAAGCTTTGTTTTAGGTGTTGTAAGGTGATGATCATTTGAAGGGAGGATGACAAAAAAACTAATAATAAATATTTCTGTAAGCAATTTATCTGATTAATTCAAGTTAATCCTCAGAGAAACCTTATAAGGGTAGGTACTGTTGTCACATCCATACTCTAGAGTTCATGAAATCGAAGCACAGAGAGGTTAGAACTTTCCTCACGGCCACATAAAGCTAACTTAAGTGGCATTAGTAAGATATGAACCCCAATTTCTGACTCCAGACTCTCACCGACTGAGTCACACCATATAAAAGAAAGTTGCCTGGTAAGACAAGGAGTATGTCTCTGTGTCTGTTTTGTGTCTAAACCTCTCTTCATCTTGTGCTCAGAAAGTCATTTTCCAGAATCTTCCTGAAGAAAGTAATGGATAATCATTTTAATCTTCAGGTCATAAATATACTTTTCCTCTAATGCTTAATTCTCTTGATAAAATATTAATAATGCAGGTTTATATGAAGTTATTAAAGTGTATTATGATGTTGCCAGGAAAGTGTTAGCTTCTCTTCTGAGTCTTCAGGAAGTGTGTGCTTATTTTAAAAAAAAAAGTATGTTGAAGTAAATTTTGTCCTTTTCCTACATCCTTTCTTGTCATGTGTTAAATAGTTCTTTGATGAATTATTAATAACATTTAATGCATTTTCATAAATTCTACTCATTGGATAGAATAGAGAAATAATTAACTGCTCTATGATTTCGGACTAATCCCAACAATCATCTCTCTTTGAAGGAAAACTTTTATGATAAAACATCCTATACCATTATGTTTGGACCAGATACATGTGGAGAAGATTATAAACTTCATTTTATCTTCAGACATAAACATCCCAAAACTGGAGTTTTTGAAGAGAAACATGCCAAACTTCCAGATGTAGACCTTAAAAAGTTCTTTACAGACAGAAAGACTCATCTTTATACCCTTGGTATATCCTTTTAATTCATTTATTACCTCAAAAATATTTGCTGATTACCAGTATATTTATGGCAAGTATATATATATTTATGGCCAATATATTTTAGGAAGATACAAACATGCATTCTACTCTCAAGGAGTTTATCTTTTTTAAGTCATACATCATTATAGCGCAGGGAGAAAAGAAAGTACCCCATGAGAGCTGGAGATGAGATTCAGTTAGGAGTTTCAAAGCAATATTCTTTCCAGCTTGGAGGCTTGGCTCACACCTAGGGAAGATTATATTTGTGGAGGGGGGATTCCCCCCCAAAACAATTTATTTATAAAAATTTGTATATTTATTCTTACATGTTTAAATTTCAGTCACCTTTAAAGTACTCTCTGTTTGATGCAATACACCTATCAAGATGCTTTTTCCACTACTCAAAACAGTTTTTGAACTCGTCGATTTTGATGTCTTTTAGTGCTTCTGCTGTTTTCTGTTTCACCTCTTCTGCATTGGCAAAATGCTTCCCTTTGAGAACTTTTTTTTAATCGGGGAAACAAAAAAAAAAAAAGTCACTCAGCACAGTGTGGGTGGGTGCGTTGTCATGGTGGAAGAACCAGTAACCTATTTGCCACAACTGAGAACGTTTCTTCTGCAAATTGTGTCACAACCTTCTCAAAACTTCCAGATAAAAACCGACGGGTTCCTAGAACACTTACCTAGCAGGGGAAGCCTGTACTACAAGGGGCCTGCCCTCCAAAATTCCAGGATTTTTTGGGTCCCCCCTCATACTCCTCTTGAAGTATACATGGAATGTGGAAAACCATAGGGGACAAGGGCATTTTGGGAACCATGACTATGGTCAGAACAGAAAACTAGAAAATAGAGTTAAAGAGGATGAGATCCTTAATGCCAGGCTGAAACATTTAGGCTTTGCTCTACAAGCAGTTGTGATTATGGTTAAGTCCCACTTTGTGATGGTTATAGCAGACACCTAACTTTGAAAGGAAAAGCATTGAGCAATCATGTTAATGTACTTAAGTAAACAATAATTTGCATAGATATTGGGGAGAGGGGCATTTTAAGGGATTGTTTCTCCCATTCCCAAGGACTTATGGTTAAAGAGCTTTGTTCTGCCTATGATTATTTAAAATCACAGCATGTCAGAACCTGATGGGACGTTTTGAAATATGGCTCTATCAGCTTCTGGTCCCAGTGTCAACTCCATCCAAGATTAAGGTATTCTGATTTTCTTTTCAAAGGCTGCAGTTGCAGAAATTTTCATTTTGTCTGCTAAGGCAGCGGTTCCCAACCTTTCTGGCTTCAGGGACCTGTTTTGTGGAAGACAGTTTTTTCCACGGGCGGGGGAAAGGAGGCCTTGCTGAGGGATTATCCAGGCATTAGCTTCTCCTGAGGAGCATGCAACTAGATCCCTCCTGAATGCAGTGCAGTTCACAATAGGGTTTGTGCACCTATGAGAATCTAATGCTGATGCTGATCTGACAGCAGATGGATCTGTGCTTGCTGGCCACTCACTTCCTGCTGTGAAGAGGCCACGAACGGGTACTGGTCTCAGTCCTGGGGTTGGGATGCGGTACTAAGGCAACACCCACTTTACTTTAATGTCTGATACTATATAAACCTTTTCCTGAAACAATTATAAAATAATACTGGACATTTTGGGGAACGCTAGGCTATAGAAATAATGAAAAAGTATAACTAGAACAGAAACAATTTATTTTATTTTAATTATTATAAAAATGTGGCATACAATTCAATTAGTCATACAAACGTTGATTATGCAGGTACCCTTGTTGATGAGGTATGCCCCACCCTCCCCTAGCAGTTTCCCTCAACTGCCAATCCCAACACCCTTCCTCTGACAGTTTCCCACTACTGCCAATCCCTTTCTTATAGCATTATAATTGTTCAAGGTCTGCTCATGAGTGAGAACACATGGTACTCTGTTCTTTGTTTCTGTGATAGATCACTGAGTATGATAGACTCTAAGTCCGTCCAAGTAGCTGCGAAGTCCATATGTTTGTCCTTCTTTAGCAGGATAATATTCCATTGTGTATATGTACCACTTTGTTTTTTATCCAGTCCAGCTTCAATGGGCAACATGGTTGGTTCCATGTTTTTGCTATTGTGAATAGAGCTGCAACAAACATACATGTGCAGGTATCTTTTTTGTAGAATGATTTGAGTTCTTCCACGTATAGTCCCAATAGGGGAATTGCTGGGTCATACGGAAGGTCAATTTCTAGTTCTTTCAGAAATCACTACACTGTCTTCCAAAGAGGTTGCACTAGTTTGCATTCCCACCAGCAGCGTAGAAGTGTTCCTTTTTCTCCACATCCTCACCAGCATCTGTTGTTGTTTGTTTTATTAATGATGACCATTCTTACTGGGGTTAGGTGGTTTTGATTTGCATTTCTCTGATGTTGAGTGAGACTGAGCACTTTTTCATATGTCTGTTGGCTGCCCATGTATCTTCTTTTGAGAAGTGTCTATTCATGTCATTTGCCCACTTTTTCATGGGGCTGTTTTTTCCCTTTCAGTGCGTTTGAGTTCCTTGTAGCTCCTAGATGTTAGACCTTTGTCAGATATACAGTTGGCAAATATTTTTTCCCATTCTGTGGGCTGTCTCCCTGCTCTCTTGGTTTCTTTTGCTTTGCAGAAGCTCAGTTTGATGAGGTCCCACTTGTCTGTCTTATTTCTTAAGGTATGGGCATTTAGGGTTCTGAATAGGAATTGGTTGCAAGTTCCAATTTCCATAAGGGTGTCTCCTGTGTTTTCTAAGATTCTTATAGTTTGAGGTTTTACGTTGAGGTCTTTGATCCATTTAGAGTTAATTTTTGAGTATGGTGATAGGTAGGGGTCCTGTTTCCATCTTTTGCAAGTGGTCAGCCAGTTTTTCCAGCACCATTTACTGAATAGGTTCTCCTCTCCCTGGAGGCTGTTGTTGGAGGCTTTGTCAAAGATGAGTTGGTTGAGAAATTAAGACTTTGCTTCCAGAATCTCTATCCTGTTCCATTGGTCTATGTGCCTGTTCTTGTACCAATACCAGGCTGTTTTGATTACTGTAGCCTTATAGTAAAGTTTGAAATCTGGAAGTTCTTTTGCTAAGGATTGTTTTGGCTATTCATGGTCATTTACGTTTCCATATGAATTTCTGTATTGTCATTTCCAGGTCTGAGAAGAATGATGTTGGTAACTTAATGGGTATTGCGCTGAATCTGTAGATTGCCTTTGGTAGGATGGACATTTTAACAATGTTGATTATTCGTATCCATGAGCATGGAATATTTTTTCATTTGTTTGTATCTTCTTGGATTTTTTGAGCAGTGTTTTGTAGTTCTCATTGTAAGAGTCTTTCACTTCTCCGGTTAGGAAGATGCTGAGGTATTTCATTTTTTGTGTGGCTATTGTAAATGGGATTGTGCTTTTAATTTGGGTCTTTGCCTGTTTGTTGTTGATGTATAGGAATGCAACTTTCTTTTGCACATTTATTTTGTGACTTTGCCAAAGTCCTTTATCTCAGTGCAAGTAGGTTTTTGATAGATTCTCTTGGAGATTCAAGGTATAGGATCATATCATCAGCAAAGAGGGATAACTTGACTTCCTCTTTTCCTATTTGGATACACCTGATTTCCTTCTCTTGTCTAATTGCCCGAGCTAGGACTTCTAACACCATAGAACCAATTAATTTAATTTGGCTTTGTACAGACCTGATCAAAAGTGACTTGGTAATATATATTAAAGGCCATAAGAGGTTTATGTCCTCTGGAATCACAATTCCACTTTCAGAAATTTATCCAAAGAAAATAATCCAGAAAAAAGAAAATGACTTCCAAGTGAAGATATGCTGAAAATTTGAAGCAACCTTAATGTTACAAGTAAGGGAGACTTTTGTCCAATACAAAGATGATAACCATGAAAGTGTTTAGCAATGGGGGGGGGTGATGTCCATAGTATTAAAGATGATAAAGATGAATAATAATAATGTTATAGAAAGGAAAGTTCAAATTGTAGTCATAGCATGATGAGCTCTAGGCAAATTACATAAGCAAAAAGGAAAAGACGGGGAAAAAGACGAACTTTCATTAATCACTTCACATATGCCACCCATCCTGCCAGGCACTCGGGAACCACCACAGGAGGTGAGCAGCGGTCTCTCTCTTGTGCCGTCACTCAGGGCAGTAGCCTGCCCCAAGAAACAAGAGCAACTGGTTTAAGTTGAAGTTGAAATTCAAGTCTGACTCTTAAGCACTTGCTTATATACAAACACTTGGATGCTTGTGCTAGGGTTATTGAGTAACTTTTTTTTTCTTAAAAGAAATCTTTCTAGCCGGGCTCGGTGGCTCAGCCTGTCATCCCACGCCTTTGGGAGGCTGAGGTGAGTGGATCGCCTGAGCCCACGGGTTCGAGGCCCGCCTGGGCAGCGAGACCTCATCTCTACAATAAATCAAAAATCAGCCGGGCATGGTAGCGCGTGCCTGTAATTCCGGCTACTGGGAAGGCGGAGGCGAAAGGATCGCCGGAGCCCAGCAGGTCGAGGCTGCGGTGGCCGGGAGCGGCCACTGCACTCCAGTCTGGGTGACTGAGTGAGACTCCAACTCAAAAAAAAAAAAAAAAAAAAAGAAATCTTGCTGTAATACTATTGTATTTTGTACAATATTCTATAGTTGTTTTAAGACCCTTGAGAGTACCCTTTACAAAGCTTATATAATCCAAGGTGTTTTTTTATAGATTCACTTAAAATATTTAATTCAGTTTTCTGAATGGAAATTTGGGGGGACCAAAGATTTTGAACAGAGCTGCTTTTCCACACATGCCTATTTTTGTCACATGCTTTTCTGTTTTAACTGAAGTTTTGGTTTTTTTTGTTGTTTTTTTTGTTTTTTTTTTTGAGTTGGAGTCTCACTCTGTTGCTCAGGCTGGAGTGCAGTGCCACACTCACAGCCACTCCAGCATCAACCTACTGGGCTTCGGCAATCCTTCTGCCTCGGTTGTCCAAGGAGCCGGAACTACAGGTGCATGCTACCACGCCTGGCTAATCTTTTATTTATTGTAGAGACGAGGTCTCGCCAAGTTTCCCGGGTTGGTCTTAAACCTGGTGGCTCAGGCAATTCACTCACCTCGGCCTTCCAAAGTACTGGGATTACAGGCTGAGCCACTGAGCCCAGCCTTAACAGAAGTTTTAAAAATAGATTTCAGTTGCAAAATCTGTTCAGAAATCTTTCAAGAATTTTTTTTTTAATTGGGAAAGGTATAGTTTTTTTTTCAGCATTTATGATCTTACTGTTCAAGGCTCTTCAATTTTAAATTTTTTCTTTTGTTTTAGTAATGTAGCTTTATAAGCTTATCTGAAATAGAAGAAGAAATAGTAGAGGAAAGAGAAGGAAATGTGGGTTTGCATTATTTGAGTTTGTATATAAATTGCATTTTTTGGTTTTGATAGAAGTAATTTGGCATTATTGTGACTCAAACCTCTGGAGATTGTTGTTATTTCAGAGCTGTATCTCCAGAAAGTGGCAGCCCACATAACCACTTAAGGCAGGACAGTCCTGATATTTGTTGTTGTTGTTGTTGTTGTTGTTGTTGTTGTTGTTGTTGTTGTTTTGAGTTGGAGTCTCACTCTGTCACTCAGACTGGAGTGCAGTGGCCACTCCCAGCTACTGCAGCCTCAACCTGCTGGGCTCTGGTGATCCTTCCGCCTCAGCCTTCCAAGTAGCTGGAACTACAGGCTCTCGCTACCACGCCCGGCTAACTACTTTCACCTTCTGAAAGCAAGAGTTAAGCAGCCATTTTCATTTATCACTCTTTCCAAGGATCTAAACTTAATCCAGTAACCCTCATATTTACACAATGAGGAGAGATCTTTTATTTTGTCATTACAAAGGATTAGGAAGTCCTTTATGACCTTTCTGGCTTGGGGATTTTTTTTTAGATGGCTAGAATTTATTTTGAAACGTACGGGCAGTAAGTGTGAGCTTGAATATCTTAAATTACCCTTAAGATATTTTACACTACAGTATATGAGTCAGTGAATTTGAAATGCCAGTGGACCTTATCTTTAAAGATTTCCATGAAAGACAGTAATGTATCAATGTTGATTTCCTGATCTGGGTGACTCGATCAGGATTATGTAAGAGAATGTCCTTGTTTGTTGAAAATGGACATTAACACATTCAGGGTGATATGTATGAGGTCAGTAACTTCCTCACAAGTGGTTCAGGAAAAAAATTGAGGTTGTTGATTTGCACTTGCAACTCTTTAAGTTTCAGATTATTTCAGAAATGTTTAAATGCTGAAGGAGATTGTGTTCTGTAACTATGAAAGAGTGAAAATGCCGGGCTTGGTGGCTCAGCCTGTAATCCCGCGCCTTGGGAGGCTGAGGTGAGTGGATTGCTTGAGCCCGCAGGTTCGAGACCCACCTGGGCAACTTGGTGAGACTTCATCGCTACAATAAATCAAAAAATTAGCCGGGTGTGATAGCGCATGCCTGTAGTTCCAGCTACTTGGAAGGCTGAGGCGGAAGGATCGCCGGAGCCCAGCAGGTTGAGGCTGCAGTGTCCGGGAGCGGCCACTGCACTCCAGTCTGGGCGATAGAGTGAGACTTCAACTCAAAAAAAAAAAAAAAAAAGAAAGAGTGAAAATGACTGGTCTTGCATGCCAAACACAGCTAGCTACTAGATATTTTTTATTTGAGAAGTAGTGTAGCATTTCATTGTTTAAAAATTGGTTTAAAACAAAATTTTGTATTTGTTTTAGAAAATATATCTAGTGATTTAGGCATATTTTGATTTAATACATTAGTTATTCCTCTATTTCTGATTGGGAGAAAATAGTATCCATGAAGTTTAGGGTAGTTTCATTATTTAGAAGATTATCTCTAAAATGTCTACCAAAATGGTAACTATGGTGTATTCAAATTGGTCTTTAGTGATGAATCCAAATGACACATTTGAAGTGTTAGTTGACCAAACAGTCGTCAACAAAGGAAGCCTGTTGGAGGATGTGGTTCCTCCCATCAATCCTCCCAAGGAAATTGAAGATCCCACTGATAAAAAACCTGATGAATGGGATGAAAGAGCAAAAATTCCTGATCCTTCTGCCGTCAAACCAGAAGACTGGTAAGCAAGGCATCTGGTAACAAAGCATTATTTGTCATAATTAAATAATGAAACAACATCTAAGTGAAGTTTACAACCAATGAAACTTATGCTTTTAAACATTAGTACTACTTATCTTGAGCTTTGGGAATGAAATATTTTCTAAAATGAATTTTGTACTTCCCTGTCTTTTAATTATTCTTATTTTAATTAATATTTTAACTTTGTTGCATTTTTCAATTATGTCTATTTTTTGTGTTTTCAATGCTGTGGGGGAAATATTTTGAATCTAAAACATCAACACTTTAATTTTAATTCCTAGTGTGTAAATGTTTTATATAGTTGCAGTCTTTTTTTGTTTTGAGTCGGAGTCTCACTCTGTCGCCCAGGCTGAAGTGTAGTGACATGCTCATGGCCACTGCAGTTTCAACCTGCTAGGCTCAGGTGATCCTTCCACTTCAGCCTTCCAAGTAGCTAGAACTACAGGTATGTGCCACCATGCCTATTTTTTTTTTTTTTTTAATAGAGCCAGGGTATCGCCAAGTTGCCCAGGCTGGTCTCGAATCTGTGGGCTCAGGCAATTCTCTCACCTCCACCTGCCAAAGCGCACTAGGAATACAGATGTGAGCCACTGTACCTGGCCAGTTACAGTCTTTTTCAAGCTGATTGATGATGACTTGGCCTTAAAACTGCCATGTCTCAACCTTATACAATTATGTAGGATGCTCTCATACCGGCGTGCTTAACTATGCATTTTCCCTAGTTGAGTATTTGTGTTGTGTCCCTGTTTAAGGAAATTATAAATATTTTCTTAAAAGAAGTGTATTCAGTTCCCAAGTTCCCATAACTCCTGTTCAGATAGTGAGAGATTCCTATATATCTCTCCGTTTACTGAGGTATTATCTGTCTTTCAGGTATGTTTTGTAATATCTCCATAAAGATCTTGTTACCGTAATTCCTGAGGGCCTTACTTTTTTCTGCTCATCGAGTAACCTTCAGTTATGGTTAGGTAGATGATGTCTTTTTGTATGTAACCCACTGTAGAAATGATCTGTTGCTGTGTAACAAAAATGGAGTCGCTGAAGGCATCGCCCCTGTATTATCGCTCATGGCTTCTGAGAGTTAGGAACTGGGAGTGGCTTCGCTCCATACTCATGGTTCAGGCCCTCCCCCCAGGTGACAGTCAAGCTGCCAGCCAAAGCTGCAGTTGTCTGATGATTTGACACCATCTGGAGGAGCCACTTCCAACCCCACTCAATTGGCTATTGTCAAGAAGTTCCTCCACTTGGGTCTTTCATAGGTCTACTCGTGACAGGGTAGATGGCTTCTCCCAGAGGGTGAGTCAGGAGGAGGAGAGAGAGGAGGAAACAAGGGCAGACGTTATGGTGTCTTTTCTTTTTTTTTTTTTTTTTTTCCTTTGAGCTGGAGTCTCACTCTGTCGCCCAGACTGGAGTGCAGTGGCCGCTCCCGGCCACTGCAGCCTCGACCTGCTGGGTTCCAGCGATCCTTCCGCCTCAGCCTTCCGAGTAGCCGGAATTACAGGTGCGCGCTACCACGCCCGGCTGATTTTTTGATTTATTGTAGAGATGAGGTCTCGCCAAGTTGCCCAGGCGGGTCTCAGACCCGCAGGCTCAGGCAATCCACTCACCTCAGCCTCCCAAAGGCGTGGGATTACAGGCTGAGGTGTCTTTTCTAACCGAATCTCACTCAAGCTGTGTTCTGTTTGTCACACATATCAGCCCTGGTACAGCTGGGGGGGGAACTGCATGAGGGTATGAGTAATAATAATAATAATTATAATAGTAATAATAATTTTAAAACTTCCATTCTTCGCTCACTTAGTTTTTTTTTCATAATTGGGTGTTGAAGTTTGTAAAATACTTTTGTGCCTCTATTGAGATGACACTATGGGTTTTTGCCTTTATTTTCTTAGTATGGTGAATTATATTGGCCGATTTTCTAATGTTGGACTAACCTTGCAATCCAACAAATATTATCAACAAATAATTATCCTTTTCATATTTTCTGGGATCCTATTCCATTTTTTCCTGTCGGATTTGTTAAGGTATAATTTTCATACGATTAAATTCACTTTAGATACAACATTTTGTGAGTTTTGGTGGACATAGGCAATGAGGTAACCATCATCACAATCATGATATGGAACATTTTCCTTCTCCCCAAAAAGTCTGTCATGCCCTATTGTAATCAATTATCTCCTTCTACCCGTAACCCCTGGAAACTACTGATCTGATTTCTGCCCCTAAAGTTTTACCTTTTCCGTAATATCATAGTAAATGGAATCATATGGTATCTATAGCTTTCCCATCTGATTTCTTTCACTTAGAATAATGATTTTGGTATTTATCTGGGTTGCTGCACATATCCGTAGCCAGTTTGTTTATTGCTGGGTACTCCTTTTCACATGTTGGTGGAAATCTTGATTTCCAATTTGAGGAAATTATGAATGAAACTGTGACAAACTTTTGTGGACAGGACTTTATGCGAAAGTAAATGTAGGTAAGCGTGTGTTCACTTTTATGAGAAACGGTCAGACTTTTCCAGAGAGCTGTACCGTTTTGCGTTCCTGGCAGCATTATATAAGCGTTAACAGCTATTCCTCTGTTTACAGCATTTGATATTATCTAGTTTCATTCTCTTTTGGCTTGTTTTCCTTTGGCTGTCTTAAAAGCTTTGTAGTGCTATCTTATCATAGTTTTAATTTGCATTTCCTTAATGACTGATTACAGTGAGCATCTTTCTATGCATATCATGTTTTTGATAAAATATCTGAAAGTTCTTTGTATTCTGGATACAGATTTTGTCTTAGTTATCTATTGTTCTGTACAAATTACCCCAAAGCTTAATGCCTTAAGACATTTATTATCTCATGGTTTTTTTGAATCAGGAATCTGAGTGTAGCTTAGCTGGGTCCTCTGTCTCTGGAACATCTTAAGGCTTACCTGGGGGTGAACACACTTTTAATCTCAGGCAGGTGTTTGTTGGCAGGATTCAATTCCTCAAGGGACTGAATTTTTGAGATTGGACCATGGGCTTCTCAGTTCCTTGCTGGATGTTAGACAGAGTTTTCCCAATTTGCAGGGTTCTTTCTACAGAGTTGCTCACAACATGGAAGCTCTCTTCGGTAGATGAAGCAAGGGAGAGGGAAGAGAGAGAATGTGAAGAAAATGGAAGTCGTACTCTATGCTGGCTCTCACAATATGCGCCTACCTGGGACCTGTGATTGTGACCTTATTTGTAACTAGGGTCTTTGCAGATATATTCAAGTTACAAGGAGGTCACGATGGATCAGGGTGGGCCCTCAATCCTCATGTGACTGGTGTTCTTATAAGAAGAGAGAAATTTGGGCAGAGACACACAGGGATATGCTATGGACAAAGGAGGCAGAGGGAGGAGGGATGTAACTCCATGCCAGGATGTACCAAGGATGGCCAGCAACCATCAGAGGCTAGGAAGAAGGAAGGGTCCTCCCCTCGAGTCTTCATCAAGAGCGTGGCCCTGCCAACAACTGTCATTTTTGACGTCTAGCTTCCACAACTCTGATACCTTTCTGTCATTAGAACCCACTCCGTTTGTGGTCATGTGTTATTGTAGCCCCAGGAAGCTAATACACATCTTTATAACATGATCTTGGAGGTAACATCCCATCACTGATTTTTGTTTATTAATAGCAAGTTATTAGGCCCAGTGCACACTCAAGAGGAGGGGATTACACAAGGGTCTGAGTTCCCAGGAGGCAGGAATCATTGGACAGCCATTTCAGAAGCTGCCCACTCAGTCAGAGAGGACTGCAGTCCTGACCAACAACTTGATTGCAGCCTGTCAGAGAGCCTGATGCAGAGGCCTTACCTAAGCTCCGCTCAGATTCCTGACCTACAGAAATATGCAGTAATAGATGTGGTTACTTTAAGCCCCTAAATTGTAGAGTAGTTTGTTATGTCGCATTAGACAACGTCGGTATGTAGTATGCAAGTATTTCCTCTCAGTTTGAGGTATTTGTTTATTTGTTCATTTATTTATTTATATATTTATTTGAGTCAGAGTCTCACTCTATCACCCAGTCATGGCTACTCAACCTGCTGGGCTCAGGCGATCCTTCCACCTTAGCCTTCCAGGTAGCTAGAACTACAGGTGCACACCATCATGTCCAGCTAATTTTTTTATTTATTTATTGTAGGGTCGAGGCCTCGCCAAGTTGTCCAGACTGGTCTCCAACCCCTGGGGTCAGGCAGTCCTCTTGCCCACGCCTCCCCAAGTATTGGTATTATAGGCGTAAGCCACTGTGCCCAGCCTTAATTATTTTTAATAGAGAGTTTTATTTTATTTTATTTTATCTTATTTTGAGTCAACTATCCCACTTAGCTATGAGGGTTTGAAATTTGTTTTTAATTTGTAGTTTTAAATATGTGAGGTACAATTCAGGGTTAGGTATACAAATGTTCATTATGCAGGTACACCCTTGTTGATGAGGTGTGCCGTTCCCCACCTCCCCCCTCCCCCAACCCCGGCAGATTCCCACTACTGCCAGTCCCTTTAGAGAGGAGTTTTAAATGTGCACAAAGTCCAATTTGTGGGTATTTGTCTTTGATAATTCATGCTTTTTTGTGTCTTACCTAATTCATTTTTGCATGAATGGCAGTCACAATTTTTTTTTCTAGACAAATTTCACAAAAACTGCATTCTAAGTTAATTATTTTATATAATGTGAGGTATAAATCAAGATCCAGCAGCCCCACTTATCTGCAGGGGGAACATTTCAAGATCCCCAGTGGCCTACTGAAACCAAGGATAGTAATGAACCCAATAAATACTATGTTTTATCCTATATGTACCTACCTATGATAAAGTTTAATATATATGTTAGGCACAGTAAGAGATTAACAATAACTTAAATAGAGCAACTGTAACAATGTACTGTAATGAAAGTTATTTGAATGTAGTCCCTCAAAATATCTTGTTCTACTGTACTTACCCTTCTAGAACAGTCTTAACATATGGCAGGCATCCAAAATATATATATTTGTTGATGAGTGACCGAGTTTTTAAGTGAAAAGGGCAAGGTCTAACATACTACGTATTGAATGCTATCATTTATATAAAAATATATACATATGTGCACAGATGCATAGAGCACAATAATACACATAGAGAATAATATACAAAAAGTTGGTGAGTTAGCAGAAGATTTAGGTAGATGAGAGATGGCGGGAGATAGTTGGCACAAAGACAGAAGGGTAGGAAGGAAATAATTTTATGGTACCTTCTGAATGTTGTAACATGTACACTTTAAACTTCTTGAATAATTAGTAACTAACATAAAATGCTGTATTCACAGGGATGAAAGCGAGCCTGCCCAAATAGAAGATTCAAGTGCTGTTAAACCTAATGGCTGGCTTGATGATGAGCCAAAGTATATCCCAAATCCTCATGCTGAAAAACCTAGTGACTGGTAGGCATCCCTCGCCTTCACATGCCCATCCCAAGTGTTCCTTATTTGCATTTGTGTTCCAGTGAATGTGACTGACCGGAGACTTGAGATTTCAGTATTTGCTGTGTTCTGCTCTCCTAAGGAACGAAGACATGGATGGAGAGTGGGAGGCGCCTCAGATTCCTAATCCAGCGTGTCGGATTGGCTGTGGCGAGTGGAAACGCCCCATGATTGATAACCCAAAATACAAAGGAGTGTGGAGACCTCCACTGATTGACAACCCTAGCTACCAGGTCAATAACCTCTTGTTGCAATTCCCTAGGAAGGCTAAACATGTTTTGCTGTTTTATGTTTACATATCTAATTGTCATTATTATTATGTAAACTTTTAGAAGTTTGATTTGTAATCTTAAGTCAAAGAAAACAGATGCCAGCTAACTCCTACTTTTAAAGTAAAACATTCTTTTTATAATCTTCGGGGGGGGGGGGAAGGTGGTTTACTAACAGGGCAAGTTTTCTTTTTCTCTGAATAGCATTGCTAATTTCATTAAACAGTAGCTTCTTCTTGAGCAGCATGTATAATGAATTATTTTATTTGAAAATATCTTCAATTATGTTTTCCTTCCAGGGAATCTGGAGTCCTCGAAAAATTCCTAATCCAGATTATTTTGAAGATGATCATCCATTTCTTCTGACTTCTTTCCGTGCTCTTGGCTTAGAGCTTTGGACTATGACCTCTGATATCTACTTTGATAATTTTATTATCTGTTCAGAGAAGGAAATAGCAGACCGCTGGGCTGCAGATGGTTGGAGATGGAAAGTAATGGTAGCAGACGCTAATGAGGTATGGTATTGACCAAGAGTGGCAGTGATATGACTTTCATCATAATAGGACTTGGTCGTGGTAGGTCTTGGTTATGGTTACAGGTTCTTCAAATGGCCCTTTTAAAGGCAAATAAATGCCCTAATTACCAAATGCCAAGGAAATGTGTTTGAATAAGTTTATGTAGACAGAATGTTTAGCTTTATGTTATGATACAACTTCATTATAATTATATAATGAACTATCTATGCTTATGTAAGTCTTCATTGGATTCATTAAATTATAATAGCCTTAATGGGATTTAATGCATATTTGCTGTTTATATTAATGAGACTACAGGCCGGGCTTGGTGGCTCAGCCTGTCATTCCCGCAATCTGGGAGGCCGTGGAGAGTAGATTGCCTGAGCCCGCTGGTTTGAAACCAGCCCGGACAACTTGGCGAGACCTCGGCTCTACAATAAATCAAAAACTATCTGGGCGTGGTAGCGCGTGCCTGTAGTTCCAGTTACTTGGAAGGCTGAGGCAGAAGGATTACTGCAGCCCAGCAGGTCGATGCTGGGGTGGCCGTGAGTGTGCCGCTGCCCTCCAGCCTGGGTAACAGCATGAGACTCCAATTCAAAAAAAGAAAAAGAAATGAGACTACTTAATATCTTTGTCACCTGCCAATTCAAGACCTAGTGATAACAGTAAACATTGTTCTTTAGTCATTTAGACTACTTTTCACTTAAAGGAGTGCAAAGAATTCTTAAATTTAACATCATTAAATTGTGTTCCAGGTTTTTTTTTCCCCCAAATCTTAACACTATTTAGAAAAGTTTAAGCTAAATATTTCAAGACAATGCACCTTGGAGAATGTATCTTTAAAATCAGTTGCTATAAGAAAGAAAAAGTCTTACCTTACATTTGGTTTCTTTGAATACTAGCAAAAACCATCACAAGAGTAGTTAGAGAGACATTTTTGTTCTGAACCTCATTTGATGGTTTTGGATTTTACTTTAATAAGAGAAACAATAGCCTTACTGAGAGTTTTGTGTATGAAATTAGTTTATATAAAAAAGAAAGAAAACAGTAATTCTGAGGTATGATTTTTAATAAGTTCTTTAAAAGTACAAAATGAATTATCAGAGAGCTGTATACTTCTAAATGAAACAGAAAATGCATCTTTACAATGTAAAAAAAAAGGAAAAAGATTTACTAAAAAAGAAAATTGTTATTATTCTTGCTGGTAGAAGTTTACACTTTTGTAGTAACATACCTATACATTCGACTACAAAGTCTCAGTGATACATGCTAATTATACTTTATAAATATAAACTGGGAAAATGAAACATTGTTTGCTTACTAGTTCGTCACTCTAATATAAGATATCTGAGTAAAATATGATTTTTTAGGCTATGTTTTCTAACAAGGGTTTGTAAAATGTGATTGCTTTTTTTTTTCATTTTTTTTTAAAGATGTAGGATACAGTAAATATCTGTCTGGGGATGGGGAGACACCTCTTATCAACAAGGGTGCCTGAATGAAGCATATTTGTATACCTAACCCTTAACTGTACCCCACAATATCATAATAAAAAATATTGATTAAAAAAAATATATGTAGGGTACAAGTCAGGATTAGGTACATAAGTGGTCATAATACAGGTAAAGTTTGGGCCTTCCATTGGTCCCCACTTCACCTGGTTTGAGATGTGGTACCCTTACTGATGTTATGTATCCCCCTTCCCTTCCCTCTTATAGTGTTATGATAAATTGAACTGCATTTTATGTTTATTTCTTCTATAGCCTGGTGCATTTAAACAGTTAATGGCAGCTGCACAAGAGAGTCCATGGCTTTGGTTGGTTTATCTTGTGACAGCAGGAGTGCCAATAGCATTAATGACTTTGTTTTGCTGGCCAAGAAAAGTAAAGGTAAAGAAAATGAATTTTCTTGAACTTTTTTTTTTCTTTCACATTTCTTAGTGTTTAGGAGTTCTACAAATTGAGTAAATGATTCTTAAAAGTAATCCGTTGGCCAGGTGTGGTGGCTCACACCTGTAGTCCCGCATTTTGGAAGGCTGAGGAAGGAGGATTGCTTGAGTCCAGGAGTTCAAGACCAGCCTGGACAACAAAGCGAGATCTCATTTCTATGAAAATAAAAATAAGAAAATTAGCCAGGCTTGGTGGCATGTGCCTGTGGTCCTAGTTACTCATGAGGCTGAGGCAGAAGGATCACCTGAGCCCAGGAGATTGAGGCTGTGGTGAGCTGTGGCCATGCCACTGTACTCCAGCCTGGGTGACAGAGTGAGATTCCCACTCAAAAAAAAAAAGTACTAAACTAAATTTCCTACACATTTTTACTGGTAATTCATGGTGCATGTTATCAATTGTGGCAAAAAGAAAAAAAACAAAACTTTACAAAAAATAGTGCTTTGCTCTTAGTAAAAGTAGCTTATGTCAAACTACCACAGAAAAAATATGAAGATTCAGAGTATAAAAAAAGTGATTTATGTAAACCACAATCAAAGGGAGCACTAGAGCAAGAAGTAAAGGAAGAAAAATCAGTTCTGGAAAAACCAACAGACTTGGAAGAGGAAAAAAAGCAAAGTGATGGTGAAATTCTTGAAAAAGGTAAGACATTGATAGTGATTTATAATGGGGACCGTGGGTAAAGCTCATAAAAACTGTATATTATCTCAAAATAACTAGCTGTTAGCATTTGTTTTACATTATCAAATTTATACATCTGAATCCTGAAGAACACATGACTGTGGCCAGGAGGAGTAATAGTCCTCTGAGCAGCCATGTGCTTGTAGTTTCTGTCTTCTAGGAAGAAAGAGATTGAAATAATGTTCAGTTGTTCAGAGCCTAGCAGTCATGAATCCCATAGGCCATAACTTTTTGCAAGGACTTTTCTTGGCCCGAGAATGTAGACAGTGAGACGAAAGGTACAGATCATGGCCTCTGTAGAAGAGGAATCGATACAAGGCAGGTGATTGCAGCAACAAAATCAACACCAGATCTCCCAGTGACTAGTACTTATCAGATAGTTATATGAAATGAATGTTGATTAATTTCTTGAAAAGATTACTGAAGCTATATCCCCTTCCCACCCTATTCTCTTGAACTCTTGAATCAAGGTTCTAGAACTGAACCACTTGTGTGTGGCTCTCCACTGAGAACTTTTTATACACACTGAAGTAGAAAAAAAACTATTGATTTTCCAGGTATCCCCAAGCCAAATTCCAGATTGAGCCCTTTACAACTTAAACTATGTCTGGAAGCACTATTTTCAACTTAATGGTAGATGACTTAAAAACACAAATATGTGTGTATGTATGTTTTTTGAAAAAGAGTGCACATACTCGTATATAACATACCCACACATATACACACACACATAAGCATATACAATGTGTGCATCTGTATGTATCAAGGTATCTAAAACAACAAATTCTTTAGGCTGTGAGTTCTCAGAGCCTTATTTTTGTAACTTCTGAGTGTTTTGTTAATTGATGTCTGGGTCAACCCGATTTAGAGGGCATTTACATAGAGTTCATAATGGAATATTTAAGTATCAGAAGGGTCTTTTTATAGCAGTACTTGCACATACCCATGTAGTCCCGCATTTTGGATGTGGCAATACATAGGAGAAGTAGAGTTGGTGAATTTTCAACTTCCCTTTCCCCAAACCCTATTCTTGGCGGGGCAGGAGTTTTTAACTTCATATAGCTCCTAGGACATGCTTAATATCTTTTGGTAATGATGGTGACGAGATTGGAGGTTTGGCTCAATGGAATCCAAAGGAAAGTCAAAAACTCAAACGATGCACGACAGTGTCCACAGAGAACACACATAAATAGCATATTGAAGAATAAAAGGTCATGAAAAGTTTAAAGGAGCATTACCCAAGACACGAACACGGGAAAGATTATTATTTTTTGGTTTTTATATTACATGCAGACTGAATCCTTAAGAACGCTTTAAACTTGTCCTTTAACTCAAACGTGATATATGTATGAAATATGACAAAATAATGAGTACTTACAGTTTAAAAAATTATGAATGAAAAGGATTGCTTTTAAATATTGGAATTTAAATAAATCCCCTTCATTGTGCTTAATACTTTTCAGTAGCAAAATTCGAAATCTTTAAGTCTTTGTTTTCAATAAAATCTGTATTCTAGAAGAGGAAGGTGAACCTGAGGAAAAGAGTGAAGAAGAAATCGAAATCTTGGAAGCACAAGCAGAAGGTGATAAATCAAATAAGTCTGGATCAGAGGATGAGGTGAGCAACACTTTGAGAGGAAACAAAAACTACTGTCTATATGTGTTACTCACACCAAGTTATTTCAATAAAAGCAGCAATCTGGTTTATGAAAGAATTTTTGCTCTATTTCTCCCAGCTTTAATAAGAACTCTATATTGCTTTCAAAACATAGCCTCAAAGTCAAGAAATACTGTAATTCAGATTGTCTTAAGCCAAATAAAACAGTATAGAGTAAGCCTGTGATTTACAAAATATAAAGATAGAATGCATCTGTAAAAATTAGGATTTTATCATTAAAATATTCTACTGAAATGTGTAATAAATCATGAATATTTAAAAGGTCATCATTATTATTACAATTTTTTATAACTGTTGTAAAAACGTTCTTATTGTCTCAATATTTTACTGTCACATTTTGAAATGGTTCATTCATTGGGTAGTTGAACACCCTCTGGCATTTTTCTGAAAACTTTAACGAGTTAGGGTTTCTTTCCCCTCCCCCCCCCAATTATCTGCTGTCTGCCCCTTTTTGTATCCTGAAATAGAATGTTCCGTGATACCTTTTTAAAGTCAGTTATTATTGAATCAGAAATCATTCTGAGTATAATTCAGAGTCATAGTGCTCTTCCCTTTTTTTCTTTTTTTAAATTTAAACCACCATAAGCCAAAGGTTTTTGTGTTTCTGCTTTGCTGGCCCTGCAAGCTGCATAGTCTCACCCCAGAGTCACCAGCCTAACATATAACCTTTTAACTCCTTGAGTGGGGTGCAAGTTCAGTTCTGCCTGGCCTGCTACATGAAATAAATATTGTATTGTGTCTAATTGAAGAAATCTTCTAATTAGTGGTTATTGTTGTTTAGGTGTTTCCGAAAGTTTATTTAGTACACATACCTGGTGACTGGTCTTACTGCCCTGTGAGTTTTTAAAGGGATGGACTTTGGGGATCCCTGCCTAGTATGAATATCTTTAGGGAAAGCCAGATGAAGATTATGTCTTCTAGAGCAGAATTTTAAACAATCATTGTTTAAGCTGTGACTTTCTTAATAACACTTGAGGTCATATACTTGAATATGTATTTTATTTACCTTTTTGCATCACAGAACATTTTGTATACCTTAAAAAGTCTTTCATTCCATCTTAAATGCAATGAAGTTTCTGCATTCTTTTTTGTATATTTGTCAGTGAGCCACAGTGAGTCAATATTTGTGTAACCCTGAGAATAATTATAATTACTTTGCATGCTTCATCATAGCATTTGACTGATAAAACATGTGTTTTAGAAAGTAAGAAATATATTGTCTACTGGTATCTGGTACTAGATACATGTTAGTACTAAAATAGACATTTTCCTACTTCTTTTTTCTAGATGAAAGAAGCAGATGAGAGCACAGGATCTGGAGACGGACCAACAAAGTCAGTGCGCAAGAGAAGAGTCCGGAAGGACTAAACCATAGCCAAGTGTCTTAAGTTCCTGAGAGAGATCTGGCAACCTAAAATCAACGGGCCAAACTAGACTTGGGTCAACTGCACAGCTTGGTTCTAACTGCTAGCAACGTTATTCCTTCAACCATTTATTTTAGTCTTTCTTTGGGGGGGGGGGGAATGTCACTTTGAAATTACCTGGTCATTGGATCTAGAATAAAAGTGGCACGTTACAGATCAGATTTAAGAGATTAATATCATTAGTCATTACACAGTTTTAGCAGCTTGAAGATACTTTGGTTTGTAAAGAACAAAATAGTAGAATTTCCTCTTCAATGAATATCCTACAATGTAACTGGTAGTTCTGTAAAAAAAAATGAACATGTGTTCTGTTGCACAGAGCTTAATGCAATAAAGTTTCTGCAAGGTTGTTTAATTCTATCAACAATTGAAAGTGTTGCATGTGACCCACGTTTATCTAGTTTGTATCAAATTATAGCTATGATCAGTTGTTCTCTTAAATTCTAATGGCTGATGACAGTCATCACGCTTTATATTTTTATTCAGTTTTTGTTTGTTTGTTTCCTGAAAAGTTCAAACCTACCGTAAGTCTGTTATTTCATCTAGCTTCCGAGCTGCCTCGGAGGTGGATCGGAGTAACTGTTGCCACTGGTCCTTTTTTTAAAGCAGTTACCAAAAGTCACAGGGCTACATTACAATGGAGCTATGTTGTTCATTTAAAATGTTTTATTTATGAACACTGTTTTGTTTGTGTAACAGGTTTAGATCTTTTCAAAGCTGATCTGAATCTTCGAGACCACAATACTACTTGAATCCTAAATATCTAGAGAACTTTAGGCTAGGTGGGTAAGGTTCTTGGAACCCTTCATGGACTAAACACCCCCCACCCTTAGCAAGCCCCAAACCGGATTCCCATACAGATCTTTCCTAGTAGGTGCGCACAGAACTTACATATAAGGAAGAGAAGCCTCTAGCTTCTGCTTTTACACTAAAGGAAGCCAAACTTGGCCAGTAATATCATTCACTCCTTATTTCAAAGAATGACTTGAAAATGAAAATAAGTGCTTTACTCCATTGCTATGTTCTGAATTTTCATAAATTGGTAGTAGAAAATCTTAATACAGAGTTACTATACTTTGAATTTATTTAATACTAGCTGAACTTACATCTGGCAAAGACTCTCTCTCGCTTTGCATTTGGGATGTCGAAATGTATTAGCCATATTGAATAGTTCTAGGTGAGAATATTTCTGAAGGTAAACCGCTATTTCAGAAGATTAATCTTTTAACTTAATGAAAAACTTTCTTGCCTGATAATATCTTGTATGTGAAGACCTTTTCTGAAGATTGATTAAAGTTTTTTTTACTTTCTTGGTTGCAGATTCATTTTAATTTTGATGTTTGGTTAAACTCCATGGGCTTACAGTAGTAAAATTTGAGCAGTCAATGTTGCCAAGTCACTACTAATTCCTGTGCACATACTCCTCTGTGAATATACTAGGGCTGGTAGGTTTATTCAAACCTTAAGCTCTAATGAATAACTGCACTCCATGTATCCAGGAGACGAAAGGTGGAGTCTTTCAAGAATCAAATGGCTTTTTCCTTTTACTCCCTAATCTGACTTTATTGTTTAAAATGACTTAAATTTTATCCTTTTCTTTAATAAAGGAGAAAAAAGTGTATTTTGCTTTTCTTTTAGTTGGCCTTTTAAGAGGATTAACTTGACCAGGCTAACATAGCTTCCCTTTCCTTGAATATTTTTTCTTGAATATTTTTTCCAAATAGCCTCAGTTCCACTGATCATTTCTCTAGGAAAATGTTACTAAAGCTAATAGTCCTTCTGAACTGTCAGTCCACATTTGGCGGAGACAGGATAGAACTGCTTACATGTTAAAATGAACCACTGGCAATGAATTTAGTGTACCTAAACAATACAGAATTCTATTCCCAAATGATTTTGTAATCAGTGGAAATAGCTCAGAATAGCTAAAACATAAACCTATTACACTCTAGGCATCTATGAACAGTTTTTGTTTTGTTTTGTTTTGTTTTGAGTTGGAGTCTCACTCCATTGCCCAGGCTGGAGTACAGTGGCATGCTCATGACCACCTCAGCCTCAACCTGCTGGGCTCCGGGGATCCTTCCTCAGCCTTCCAAGTAGCCGGAACTTCAGGCACGCGCTACCATGCCCAGCTAATTTTTTATTTATTGTAGAGATGAGGTCTCTCCAAGTTGCCCAGGATGGTCTCGAACCTACAGGCTCAGGTAATCCACTCACCTCGGCCTCCCAAAGTGCTGGGATTACAGGCAGCTGAGCCACCGAACCTGGCCCCTGGTTCCCTTTTCAGTTGTTGCGATATGTTTTGGCTTTAGGAGGATTTAGATATAAAATGCCAAATGGTTAAAGTAAGATAACTATTTACAACTTTTATATAAATGAGTTATGAAACATAACGGCATTTCTGCATAAATTTCAATCATGCTCGCATGCATTTCCCTAGTACAAAAGCTATGAGGTAGGAAATTAAATGATCCCTAATCTGAAAGGCCTTACAAAGCAGGCTGATGGGAGAGCAAATGCATTTGTAAATACAGTTGGCGTTTACCTCTAAACATCCAAAAGCTGGAAGGGCAGGGTCATTTTAGGGAAGACAGGCAACAGAATAACTGGAAAATAATCTTTTAACACCTAACATAGTACCTTATCACAGATTTTGTGCTAAATGAATACATATTTTCTATAAAATTCGGGGTTATATTCAAGTTTTAATAACTTAGACCAAGCACTTGATAAAGCTATGTGTAATGTATAACACTTAAAACAAGATGCATTATACAAATGATAACAGTGAATGTACCACTTAAGCTTCTGTAATCTCTCAGCACCCCTCTCTATTATTAGGTAAATTAGGGCCTGAGGCTGACATAAAGTCCTCCTTATAATAAATATGTATTTTAAACACCAATTTTCTGTAATTTCAGTAAAATAAACTGTGGCTGGTTTTCCAGATAGAGTAAGAGGCAATCAAGTTATTTCAATTTTTAAACAACCTTCTATGTAATCACGATCTCTGTTCTTTCATGATTTACAAGTGGTCTTAACAACTCAAGCAACCTCTGGAGTTTTCTGGTAATTTTGGTTATGTCGTATTGGAGAAGTACCTGATGGCAACTGCCGGAGAGCATTAAGATAGGGATAATCAAAATTATTGCATAATGTGAAGAATGCCTTTACCATCTAAAGAATTAAGATCAATATTGCTTTGCTTTGGACCATGAAATTAATTTTAGATTCTATAATTTAAAAGGAACTAGATTACAGGGAAGAGTAACAGGAATAGAGATGTGATGTTATCAACTGGTTGGAACTAAACGCTTACACGTTGGATACTTTTCTACAAGAGATTTTGTTGCTAAGATACAATTCCAAAATTCAAAAAAAACCTCTGAAAAGCAAAACATGTTTTTCATCAGTTTGGCACCAAAACTCACTTGGCAGTCAAGCTTGACCTCCCTGACAGTGTTTTATAAAGAGAGACTTCATTCAGGCTACTTTCTCATATTTTGTTGCAGAAATGTTAATGTACTTGATTATGGGTGCTGCCCCAAACCACATTGATATATGAGTCATAACAGTGTATAAAATCTGAAAAACACCAAATCCTGACACATGCGGCTCTATGGGTTCCAAATAAGGAATTGTGACCTGTAGTAAGGTGCTTGCTACAAGCAGAGTCGAAAGGGAATATCAAGAGAACAAATTGTGGATGGAATGGTCATGGTAACATGGAGGGAATTCCTATTGGGGAACCCCGAGGGAAAGGGGCATCTTAGTCTGTTTGAGCTGCTATAACAAAAATATGAGACTGTGTGGCTTACCAACAATAGACATGCATTTTTTGCCAGTGCTGGAGGCTGAAGTCTGAGATCAGGGTGCCAGCATGGTTGGGTTCTGGTGAAGTCCCTCTCTGGGATGCAGACTGCTGATTTTTGCTGTGTCCTTTCATGGCAGGAAGAAAAAGCTCTCTGGGGTCTCTTTTTATAAGGGCACTAATCCCATTCATGAGGGCTTCACCCTTATTACCTTATTATCTCTAATGGCCCCACTGCCTTACCGCATCACACTGTTAAGACTTCAACGGAATCTGAGGAGGCCACCTTCAGCCCCGAAGGAATGCGGTGATTTTCCCTGCCAAACACGATACCGCTAGCAGGGAAAGCTAGGAAGTCGTAAAGAAAATGGCATTCTGACACTTGATAAAATGGTAAGGAAGATTTCGTTCAGGGCTGTAGATGTTAAGGCTATCACAATAAGGAAAAATACACAGAGACAGCTGAAAATTTATACTCAGTGAGCAGAGTGCTGAGGGTATTAATGGGTGGAAAATTACTGAGCAAAGGCTTCAAGGGTAGGGTGATTCTTGCTAATGATCACTGATGAAGGCAGGCCAGAGCGATCGGGTAGTGAGGGTGGAGGATGAGGAATTCGATCAGCTATTATTGAGGGTGGGAGACCCTCTCCAAACTGATTCTTGCCAAAACTGGACTAGGCAGGCCAAAGATGGGCCTAAGGATGAGGCCTACTCAAAAGGTGGGCTCAGAGGAGCCTGTCTAAAATGTAGTCAAGGAGTCTTTGTCAGAAGTTGTTCAGAGTCCCTGCGCACACTGTTTACCACCTATATTCCTAAGACAGAAATTGATATCCTGAGGTTTTTGCCATAACAAAAACTGAAAATGTATAACACTGGCTTGCCATTAACATGACAAGCAGATGGGGAATATATTTCAGGCAACATTTTGTCACCTGCTAAGCTCTAGGGGTAGCACTTGGGAAAAAACAGAATGTTAAATGAATTGACTGTTCCTTGATGCTTTTAGCAAGGTATCAAAAAATCTTACCAGTTTCCAAGCAGAGACGAAAGGAATAAAAACGTTCGGATACTCAGAACCTCACAGGAGCTAAAAAGTCAATGGCTTCCAAACTGAATAGCAACTAGGGTTCAAAATTATTTTTGAGGTGCGGGAGGTGGAGGAGAAGCCCAGTAAGAATTCTCTGCCAATTGTTAAGCCAAACAGAGACGCAGTTTTGCTGCGATGATCTGGGTACAGCATTCCCAGAGTGCAGTCTTTTCAGCTGGCCACAAGATAGCCTCCCTTAAAGAGAGGCAGGGGTCTGAAGGAGCTCTGTTGTGGTTCCTGGCAGACAGAATGGGAAGCATACAGATTAAAAGTCTGGAGTTTTTGAGAGAATTGTACTGTCAAAGAAATATGAACTTGATCTTAAAATGATGGGCACCAAGGTCATAGCAGCAGGAAGTGAACTGTCTTCACAACTCCCATGGACACCCAGCCTCTACTTCAGATGTAGCCATGGGGGAGAAAAATGAATGAGGAGTAACTTTTCAGAGGGGAAACCATTGAGGTCAAAGAATAAGGGAGTCCGTTGCCACAGATCAAATCAGGGTCTAATCAAAGAACTTCTCCACCCTCAGGGACAGTTTCACAATTGCTCTGAATGTCTCCCTTTATTCCATTGTCCAGATAGCAGTTTCTATTTGGCTATCTTGTCCCCCTACAACATTATAAACAGGTGGGGCAAGAGTGAGAGCAAATAATTTGCCTATCAGTTTAGAGATTGGCAGACTATTAGAAGCCGCATTCAAACGCATGAACCTTAAAAGAGATCCTGGATTTTGAGCTGTGTCAGTAACTGGATGAGGAGGGATGCAGTATGTTCTATGTGAGGGAAGAAGATTGTGCATATATACTTAGTAGCAAGAGAAGGGGGCTGTGGCTCAAGCTACTACTGGCCACCTTTATCTGCTTCCATGTTGATACAGTTGTAGCTGGAATATGGCTTCCCAGCCAGGGATGACATTTCTAGGCTGCTCTTGTATCTAGATGTAACTAGGTCTCCACACTGTTGGATATGAGAAGACACAGGAGCCACTGCTAGCCCAGCCCATAAAACCTTGCATATGTGCACTTCCATGCAGTCTTTCTGCACATCAGAATGGCAATAACTAGAGTCACTTAGAAGCCACAGTTGAAAATAGCAGAGTCATCCTCAATGCAAGTCCCTGAATAATTGTGTGCATTGAAGCTTGCTAATCTATGATGCTAACCTCGGACCCACTGTTTGGGAGAAACTTCTGTATTATTTTATATTCTTTATCACTGGATCTCTTGTTACCGTAGCTTAGCCTACCCTAAAAAATACAACTTCCTTTTCCCTGGAGATCTTAGATCCCTTTCTTTGAATGCTTTGCTTTTATTTTTAAAATGAATATATAATATCCTATAATATCTGCATTGATAGCCTGTAATATTTGTATTAATAAAAATATTCCCCAAAATGACCAATAAGATATGCTATTTATCCTGAGCATTGAACAACCCTGGATACATCATCACAACTACATACCACATTTACTTAGGCAACTATATGAAAACAAACACAATCTCTGAAATAGCTTTTTATTAAACAGCAAAGCAGAATTGCAACACAATTTAAACGTCTGTAAATTAGGTCACAAAAGGGATGCAAATGTTTGCAGTATGACTATTATATATTCATACAGTTAAAGTCATTAATCAACTCTTACACCAATACATAAGATTATTCCATGATTAAAAGTAGCCCAAATCTAATCACTATAAACTATATTAGTGTATCTCTTTTTCTATGATAACATTTTAGCATAACTTCTGATATTGATTCTCTTACCAAGCGGTATCTACAAATCAGATTTTCAGAAACTGTTAAAGGATGAGTAAAACTCTGCAAACCAAGTAGTTGATCTGACAGAAAATTCTAGGAGAACAAGTGAGACAAAATACTGAACAAGATCATCAATAAGTATATACGTAAAACCCTCCCATTTTATTCACGAGTCTGATACTAATGCATTCAAGAAATTTTGCAAAGGTTGATCTCTTGGGTATAAATAAATCTTGAGACCAAACTCTGTGTAACTGCTCTCTTTCTAGATGTGGCTGACAAAAGGCTAGTCAACCTTAATCTACTTTCAAATATATTTCCCAAAAGATCTGCTCTGTGCCAGAGATAATACAAATCTAGTGAAAATATTTGGAGTTGGTTACTGTTGTTTACCGAGCACTTTCCCACCCTATTTCTGTTTTTTCCTCAAGATTTCTATTTTAAACCCACAAATGACCAGAACTTACATCTTCTCAGATAATACAAAAAGTGAGTTCTTTTGTGCACAAAAGTTTTTACCAACAAATCTTCCCAAGTCGACAATTCAGTTTCAAGGAAACACTTTTAAGCTCAGAGCCTCCATCTGTTTTCAACTGATTCGGAAGAAACCAGCAATCCTACCTCAATACTAAATATCACAAATGGCAAGCCTTAGCTGAGAAAGTATCTTATTTTGGTTAAGTTTCAACAAAGTTCAGGTTACTCTCAGAGTGATTAACTAGTAAAATTACTTTTACAAATGTGAAACCAGTTTTCCCCGAGGGGAAGGGAAGTAGGAAGGAGAGGCCAATGGAGAAGAGGCACAAGATGGCGGACGGGGACATAAAGCTGTGCATTCAGGACATGATTTTGGTCACTTTCTCACAACATGGTGGTTATTGTCTTGTACTAAGCCTATAAGAAACGACAGTGCTAAGCCTACAAACCAAAGCAAATTTGATAAAACACTCATCGTTAAGTTTCATAAATATATGCAATTATAAAGTATCTACAATACATTTGCACGTTTTCATAGACTAACATAATACACAGACTCATAGGAAGTCTCCTGTTATACTGTTAATTTTGCCTACCTCTGACATTATTTTCATAAATATTCAGTGAAGCCGCAAACAAAGGTACTGTAACCTGTGGAATCTACCCAAGTTTTAAAGAAAAAAGATCAGCAGCAATTCCATAAAACGAAGGGTATCAATCCCTTACTTTCTTTTGCTCTTTGTGTCAGTTGTTTGAAAAACACTAGAAGCTGACATGAGGTTTTCTATATATTGTCCAAGAACTTGGTTTTCTGATTTTAGCTTCAGGTTTTCTTCCTTAACTGCATCTACTCTTGCTGAGAGATCTATATTTAAAACAGAAAGAAAAAAAAAAAGAAAATGCCCATTATCAATAAAATGATGGCAATGCTTCTACATCAAAAAATGCTTAAGATTATTCTTTAAAGAGATAGCGTAATCCTTAACTTGTAAGGATTCAGATTACTTTAGGGAAGTTAAGGTAAACAAAGTAAGCAGAATACAAATACATATATGATAATTCCTAAAAAGAGATTTCCCATTAGATTAAATGTTACTCTTCATAAACAGCATTTAGGTTAAGTAGTTAACTCTTTCAGTGACTAATTTAAAAACAGAAAAAACAGACTTTGTTTGAAAAATGTGAATTCTGGTTCCTGTCTTATCAACATAAAACCATAATGTCTTCACTAGAAATGTTTATGATACAGCACTTAACACAATTGAATTTATACAATGAACAGGCAATTCCAAGTAATTGATCATTTTGTATTTCAACTCTATCAAGTAATTAAAAAGATGTGATTCCCGATAATCTTATAAAAGTTACTTCCGTTCATTTATTTAACGAATATGCTTTAGGTGCCCTCTAAGAGCCAGGCACTGTTCTAGAAGCATCAGTAAACAGAACAAGTGCACACTGTTTGTCAAGGGGGCATGAACACTACAAAGACCACTTTACAGTATGTTATAAGGTAATGGGTCAGGCTGGAGAAAAAGCAAGAGGAGAAGGTCAGAAGAGGCAGAAGAGAAGCTGTTCTTCTCAGAGTTGGCTATTTTGATCCAGGGAATCTGACCAGTGACCTAAAGGAAGTGAGGGCAAGTCATATGGATATACAACGAAGAGAAGAAATCAAGCAGAGAAAAACAGCGACTCCCAACAGCAAATGCTGGAAGAACACAGGGAAGAGGAGAGGGTCTGAGGTGGGCTGTCTGAGGCAGAGTGTGGCATGACTCTGACAGGTAACAGGGAAATCACAGGTGGCTTTCATCAACCCAGTAACACAGCAAGCCCCTGGAGGAATCTGGGTAACATGACCTGCTCACTCTGGTGTCCCAAACACAACCTCATAATTTTACTAAAACACTCAAGAGGTTTCAGCAACAGTGTTAATTTGATGCAAGACATTTAGAAACTGGAAAAACTCAGATCAATTCCTTTTTAATCTCCAAGGCTAATACATTGTTTTTACTTCAAATTAACCATTATTAAAAGTACTTAGTAACACACTAAGAGACTTGAAAGGGGGTCTCATACTAAATGGCATTATGCTAGAGTTTAAAGAGGAAGGCGTGAGAACACTATTTGACTTTATTGAAGCATTTTTGTTTTTTAAAATTACCAGCCAAAGATACAGGCAGGAAGAGAAACAAAATATATAAATATGTTGAAATGGACTTTAAAGTTCATACTTTTAAAAATTATACACCCTAACAAACAAATTTAAGCAACATAAATGCTTACACTTTCACTTAATTGGAAGTAATTAAAGAAACTACAAAACATAAGCTAACCTTCAAGTGTGTGTTGGAGTTCCAACACTTGATTAATAAGTCGTGTTTTTTCCTCCAGTTCCACCTGATTTTCAGCATCAACTGCTGTAATATAAAGGTTCAAATTTACTATTAATTAACATTAGGCACCATTGTGTAGTGTAGAACTTAAAAATCTGTTTTATATTAATTCTTACTTGACTTATACAAGAGGCCTGAAAAGTAAAAAGTTATATGCACACATTGCAGATGAGGACACCCAGGTAAAAATGAAAATGAAGTGCCAACCTCTGACAATTAAGGAATGGAAGCGGCTTTGGTCCTTTCTAAAACTAAAGGGGATATGAGTAAGTAAATCAGCCAAGATGCAAGCCTTCTAAATACGGTTTCTCTGCTCTGTTCACTGCTTTAATAAAGCAAAAGCACCCCCAAATGGGTAGCATACAAAAAAGAAAATGAAGAACATACCATCCATGTCAGCATTCATCATCTTGGGGAGTAAACTTTTGAGCCTTGGATACACAATCCTTGATGAATGGTCTACAACAAGAAAAAGTTAGAAACACAGACAATATAGCAAAAAAATACAAGCTTGTTTTTCAAAAGAAGACAATTTTGTTCAATATGACCCAGCAGGACCCTTTTCATATGCTTTACTGTTTCTAAGAATAAAATAAATACCTAACAGGTAAATAAGAAAAGGATACAAATACTTTACAAAGAGACATATCAAGAAATGAGAGAAGCTGGGCACGGTGGCTCATGCCTGTAATCCCAGCAGTTGAGGTGGAGGTGAGAGGATTACCCGAGCCCAGGGGTTTTAGACCAGCCTGGGCAACTTGGCGAGATCTCGTCTCTACAGTAAATTCAGAAATTAGCCAGGCGTGGTGGCCTGTGCCTGTAGTTCCAGCTACAGGCTGAGGTGGAAGACTGAGGTGAATGGATTGCCTGAGCCGAGGAGGTTAAGGATGCGGTGGCCATGAGCATGCCACTGCACTCCAGCCTGGGCAACAGAGTGAGACTCCAACTCAAAAAAAAAAAGAAAAAATTTTGAGCTTCTTGGTAATAAAAAAAATACATAAAGTTAAAACCCATTATACATTTATTAAATTTTTAAAGGTAAGATAATGATCAAAACTAACAAAGAGTTATGTAAAAACAAATACACAAATGTGGGACTAAGTTTTTAAAATGTACTATTTTTTACAAAGCTGTACGATAATAAACAAGATTCATAAAAATACTTATATCTTTTTTACTAAGTATTTTACTCATGGAAATTTAGTCTAAGAACATTACAAAGAAAAAGAAAATTATATACACAAAAATGTTCACTTCAACCTTATTTACAGCTCACTAAATCAGAAACAACTTGTCATTCAGAGTCTGGAAAATTATAGCTGTAATTTTTAATGGAGTGGCTACTAAAAATAATTATGACTATAATAACATGAAAAAATGTTTATAAAATTCTACATTCATTGAGGTAAATCACGTAAAATATGTGTAAGTATAGCTAAAGAGAACAGCAAAATGAAAAAAGCTCTGATATTAAGATGATGTTTTTGCTAAATAAAAATCAAAAGAAAAATACTAGGCATCTGAAATATTAACATGGAATAAAAGAAAAATGTCCACTTGTCACCTCCTGGTTATGGTTAAACCAAAAGAGACTAATCAGGATATAAATAAGTAAATAAATATTAACATTTTATTATTTTGATAAAAGGTTTCAACATATTAGAGTACAAAATTCCTATGCAATGTGTTCTGCTCTACTCCTAACAATTATTTCACATTCAATGTGTCCATTTAATTTATTAAATAAATTTATTAAATAATACTACCTGATTTGTTAACCAGTATAGCCTACTACACTGAAGCAGCTGCTGCCTGTCTTGTCAGTGTTGTTACCTTCAACAAGCATTTACTGAATGTCAACTAAGGTGCTGTTATGTCTCCTAAGGCTAAACAGTAGAAACCAGACCCATGAAACAAGGACATCTACACACTAGCTAGAATCAGAATCCAGAGACACCAGTGACATGCATTCCCTCATGGTTTCAGTTAATATGCATCATGTTACGCTTCACACACTCACATGAACATGGAAATAAAATATGCAGTGTCCATACATATAAACTTCAAGTAAGATATTCATTAGTCCAAAAAAGTACACTCAATATCCTTTCCACAGCATTATTAAAGAATTAACTACTAGTGGTATGCAATTAATAATGTTTACTAAACCTGCTCCAAGTCTTCCAGCATCTTTCCGCTTATCTAGGCACAACTTAAAATTGCTCTCCTCCTCTTTTTTCACATGGTTTTAATTCTCAGGTTCTCTGCACTTCTGAGAAAGTATGTGTTAGCACATCATGCACATCCAAATAGATTACTAAATTTTTAAAAATTCTCTTTTAAAGTTACTCAACTTATTGTAGTATTTGAAGACCATGCTTCAAAAATTACTTCTCTCCATTCAATCAACATGTCTCTTTATAAGTGAAGAGGAACAGGGTTGGCAGTGAAAACTTGAATTAACATTTCCCTCACAGAAGAGCACGCTTCTAACAAGGTGCCAGTTGGGCTCATTTTTCATACATTTCAACCACTGATTAGGCTAAAATAGGTCTGAGGGAGATGAAAGAGGCAACAGCCAAAAGCGAAAGTAAGTGAACTCAGGAGTACTCAGCATTAGTAGACCGCAATTTGGCTACCATCTTTGCCAAATAATAAATAAAAAGTGCCTCAGATCGCTAACATCCGGTGTTTTTAAGAAGACAGCTAAAAATTTTTCAAAATAGCTGCAAAGGGTTATAAGATATACACACAAAAGCAACAGATAAACCCAAAATCAATTCATCTGATTTTTGAAATCAGATACAAGAATGGGATATTCTGCTTTTGCTTATGTTTCCATTTACTACTACAATTAAACCAAAAAGTCTTCTACAAGAGGACATATGTTTCAAACTGAACAAAGTCAAGAAAAAGAAATCAGTGCCTAAAATTTTGGCCACAAGTACCCCAAGCAATATACTATCTATGTATGGCTCATCAAAAAGTGTAATAAACAAAAAACAGGGTAGAGAGGGCTTATTAAGAGGAAAAATAACTCTTATATCCAAGATTGAGGTGGAGATTGGAGAACAAAAGCAGTGCCACAAGAACAGCGCTTCAGGATACACCCAGAGCCCGAGAGCGCAAGTCACACCATAGTCTAGGATCGCACCCAAGGGTTGGACCACGCAAAACCTGCCAACTACCTTTGGCAACCCTGTACGAAAGGACACGACACTTTAATAAAGTGGACCAGAGCATGAACTGCTGCTTCTTCACAAGGGAGAAAACAAGTAGCAATTTTCTCTTGCTGTGATATGATTGCAGACCAGATTCGAAATCCTACTGTTGAATATACTGAAAGTTTTTCAGTAGATTTGGAGTAATAAGCTGTTTTACATATGGGATCAAAGGGTTCAGTGCGTTCTTTATGCCAGAGTATTTTAGCCATGGATTTTATCTTCTTTCAAAATAGGATGTATCCTCAAACTGCACAAGGCCAACAATCACACAATATTGCATCATAATAGGTACTTAATATAAGATTGAGTTTTTCAACTGTAAAACCCTTTATTTATAGTTGCTATAACATCAATCCAATGCCATGTCAAATGTGCTCTTAAGAGCGCGTTTTCCACTGCTTCTGCCCCTATACATAAATGCAAATCTGATGAAAAGACAATCCAGATCAAGGCTTCTTAAGCGTGGGAACTCTGGAATGAATTTGGAGTGCTGAGGCTGTTCTGCCTATCCTAAACATGCCTTGGCCCTGAAATGGACATGGTTCTCTGAGACTTTTCAATTCAGGTCTACACCTAGGTCAGATCTTTAAAGCTTTTTCTCAAAAATCATAGTAAATTCTGGTGCCTATCCATAGCTAGCCTTTATTGGTATAGGAGAATCTAGAACTATTTTTGATTATTTAAGTCCAGAAAGCAGAAGGTATAAAGAAAGATTAGAAATGTAGCAAGCATTAGGACAAAATCCACTGAATTAAATGAATAACCTTTTCTGTGTCCACACACCTAACCGTAACCAAAGACTATCATCTTAGCAAACATACTCTGCCTTCTATTATAGCACCTTTAATAGCAACACAATATCCCTCTTCTCAAGAGGTAGTTTAGCACAGTTATTAAGAATATGAACTAGGCCAGGCGCAGTGCCTTCCAGCACTTTGGGAGGCAGAAGTGAGAGGACTGCCTGAGCTCAGGGGTTTAAGGCTAGCCTGTGCAACATAGTGAGACCTTGTCTCTGCAATAAATAAAAAAAAATAAGCAGGGTGTGGTGGCACATGCCTGTGGTTCCAGCTACTTAGAAGGCCGAGGCAGAAGGAATGCCTGAGCCCAGTAGGTCGAGGCTGCAGTGGCCATGAGAGTGCCACTGCACTGCAGCCTGGGCGACAGAGTGAGACTCCAACTCAAACAAAATAATAATAATAATAATAAAGAACATGAGCCTAGATTACCTGGATTCAAATCCTAGGGCTATAATTTATAATCTCTGGAGTCTTGGGCATGGTTAACATCACAGCCTTAGTTTACAGCTTTAAGCCTTAGTTCACAAATGACTAAAATAAAGGGATAATATCAGTACATAATTCATAGTACAGATTCAATAAGTATTAGTTATTATCTTCCCTACCTTGTAGCTCTAATTCAAGCCACAAAAAAGAATTTCATGAAAACCACAGTTGCCTTATTTTACAAATAAAGAAATAAAACCAAAGATGAGAATGGCTCACTGAAGATCACAGGAGTTACCGACACAGCTAAGACCACAGCAAACGTTCAAAGGTTTTCCACCATCTCGTCACAGCTATGCTCATGCTGGAGACTTGTGGTTCTGAGACACTAATATCCGTCCAACCTCAACCACCCACCTTGTATGCATCTAGAATTGATTCTCATCATCTGTCATCCGCTTACTAGTGAACCAGTAAGACTGCTATAATGTCTTTGTGCATTAAGGGGCTAGTCGCTTTACATATATTACTACTTCATCAAATCAACAGAAGGAAGCTGCAATGTACAGATGTGGACACTAAATCCCAGAAAGGCTATGTAGATTGCCTAAGGCTTCACAGCCAACGCCAGTACCAAGAATCTGAACCCAGGTCTAACTTCGTAGTCCCGCTTTTTCCATCATGCAACAGAAGAAACTTTTTTTTTTTTTTAAGTTGGAGTCTCACTCAGTCGCCCAGACCGTAGTGCAGTGGCCGCTCCCGGCCACCGCAGCCTCGACCTGC